ATCTTCATATCCGGTGTTGTCTATTCCGACTTTGGCATTTAGATCTCCCATCAGAATAGTTAGGTCCTTTCTTGGCATTTCTCAATGATTGACTGTAGCCGCTCGTAGAACTGATCTTTAATGTCGTCGTTGCTATCATTGGTGGGTGCATAACATTGGATAATATTCATTAAGATCCCCTCCTTCTTTGTTTTGAATGATGCTTTGATGATTCTGGATCCGTGAGACTCCCATCCTACAAGTGCATTTCGTGCTACTTTGGACAGCATAAGAGCGACTCCCTGAGTGTGTGGAGCATTGTCCTCTTCGTGACCGGAGTATAGCAGCATCTCTCCCGTAGCTAGCCTTTTCTGTCCAGCTTGGGTCCAGTGGGTTTCGCTGATTCCCAGTACTGCTAAGTTGTATCTCCTCATTTCCATTGCTATTTGACTGGTCTTCCCGGTTTCCCACATTGTTCGAACGTTCCATGTACCTATAAAAATTTTTGCTCTGGTTGTTAGAAGGGGCATCGGCCTCGTGGCTTCCGAAGGAACTCGGCTTTCACCATGAAGCGTCATAATTCTTCTAACTGAAGACCTTCTAACTCCCAGGGCAGAGTTTAAATGGTTTGAATTATTTTTTCTGGTAAGCGTTTTTTTAGCGAGTTAGTTTTCTACGGGATGGGGACGCTAACCCCATGCCCAACCCTCCTCCTTTACCCGGGCTTGGGACCGGCAGTAACCCTATTAGAGCTACAGGCGGAGTTGCCACATTACTGCCGTGAGTAAATTAAGGCTCACAATATTTCCGATTTAATATCTCAGATTATTTAACCAAAAATGATTAGGGTGATGGGGCGATCGATATTTCTGTTGATTTAAGCAGGGATAGAATAAGAAGTGCCTCCAAATAATCAGATTTCTCGAATCGACAGTCGAGCTCAGGTGGTTTTTCAGAATAGGTCAATAAAGAAGACATGTGGTGGTTGACATTGAAGAGGACTTCTTTAGGGTGCTATCCAGATAATATTTCACATTGTTGCCTCCGTTATTAATTCGCTTGACTCAACCTTATAGTTTTGTTTGGTAGTTGTGGTGGGTCCGAACAAAGTTATTCGAATTCGGGCTTGTGAATGGGACATAAGCACAGGTCTAACAAAGAAGATCGAAATGACATGACTGATCTAAGGCCCAAAAGTAAATAATTTTTCAATATGGTTTAGCTGCTCATTCATTTGTAGGACCAGTGAAATATCACTGAGATCTAGTCAAATCATCCGGCAGTTGGGCCATTGAATGACGAACAGCTCATCGATTATCAACAAGATGAAGGAAAAGCAATGTGCATCGGTTCATCACATATCATGGACTGAACCATGTGGTGGCGGTTGTAATCTCTTCCTTGTACCTAGTCTTAATAATATATTTCTGTAATAACGTCTACTTAGCGGAAAATAAATTTCCAATGTAAATCGTTCTGTATACCTTCAGCATTGATTCTGACCTTATTAGTTCTAATGGACTCGTCCTAGTTGGAAGCAATAGGTCACGCATCTACACTAGATAACTTTTTAGTTTGGCATTTTACACATGGAGCAAGACGCTGTCAAACCTTGAATATCTGCTACGTAGACATATTTTCTCTAGGAACAGAAGTGATATGTAATAGTATGTCACAGCAAATTTGTGGGTCAATGATTGGGAGTGTAGCGGTAAATAAACCCTCAAAAATATGTTAAGAATAGGTCAGAGGACCGAGGACAGTGTTGAACACTGTCCATGTAGACTCCTTAAGGTAATCCTAGGAACAGAGAAGCAACGTGATCTTTTGTTAAGGAGCGCTCGTGGTCACGACAATTCCGACATTTGAGTGAAACCTGATATGTCCCTGGAAAGTAGAATAAAAATGAAGAAGGCACAAGATGAGCTAGAAATTCGTCGACGAAAACGGCGAGGAAATTCTTCGATCAATGGGTTTTCGGATAGTCAGGTCTTGGAAGCGAATGCTACCAAGGCCTGTGTAGATAGACCATTCTCCCTGGGAGTTTTACATGCCAACGCTTGTAGTCCAAGAAACAAATTCTATGGACGGGAAGCATTAGTGGACAATTTAGGGCCACTCTTTGTAGCAGTGACAGAGACTTGATTAGTTCATGAATTAAAATTTACTCCATAATTACCCGGATTCCACTGTCTAAGAAGTGATAGGAAAGAAGATGAAGGAAAAAAGGTGGCGTTTATTATACATAGCCAATAATATAAATATCTGCTCCTCTGCTAGCGAATCACGTGATAGTGGAACTTGTGAAGTCATTAGTTGTGAACCGACTATCGGATGCGGTACATTTATACTCGTTGTCATCTATCGCAGCTCAATCTGCTTAACTGATGACTTTATTCTAGAGCATATTCAGCTATGGAGGGAAAATAACAGATGCTTGATAATAGGAGACTTTAATGCGCCTGATATTAGTTGGACTGAGATGACCACGGAAGGATCTATAAACTCCTTTGATAGTATGTTCCTGATAACAGTAATGGAGCATGCATTAGTACAGCATGTATTCAAACCCACACGTTCTGATGCAAACCAAGGTTCTTCTTTGTTGGACTTGGTAATCACTCATGCGACTGAGGATATTTCCAACTTAAATATTCTTCCATCGTTAGTGAATAGCGACCACGCTGTTTCGTCATTCACGTTTAGAACTAGTGACATGATATATGACCAGGTTAAGCCCCGCCCAATGGTATGGAGAGCTAACATATCAGCCATTCAGGAGTGAGCTGCTAAAACAGATTTCTATGTAGCTACTAGCTTATCAGTTAAAGAAGGATGGTCTGTATTTGAAGGCAAATTTAGTTCAATTACATCCTCGTTTATATCATGCTCCGTAACACGTAGACCGAACGACTATCCATCATGAATAACTAAACAAGTCAAGAACCTATTTAGAAGAAGGTAAAAGCACCGGAATATGTTCATACCTACTAGCTTAGAACAATACATGTCCAGTTATTGTAAGATTAGCAATGCCTGTAAAGCGTTAATAAGTAAGACTAGGCGATCACATGAAAAACAATTGGTTAGGGATTCTTGATATAGTCCGAAACGGTAATTCTCGTATATGAAAAGGCGAGCTCAGAGAAGCGATGGAATTCAACCACTTTTGACGCAAGAATATACGTTAATCTTGGCAAGAAATGATATAGAAAAAGTTGAAGCTTTATCGGAATATTTCAGTAGTGTTTCTATCAGTAATGAAGAACGACCAACGATTCATTTTGATTGTTGTGGCTCGCTGTTGGACCCTGTAGTCGTTGAGAAGGATACTGTTTTAAGGCCACCTCAGCATATCAAACCTGAAAAGGTCCAGTGGTCCTGATGATATTCATCCTAGGATTATGAAAGCCATATCAGACGTAATTGCTGAACTATTAGCGATACTATTTCATATGTCTCTGAGGCATTCCAGATTCCCCAGAGACTAGAAAGACGCGATAACAAGTCCGGTGTATAAGGCTTGGAGTAGTAACTACAGACCCGTTGGCTCAACTAGTGCGGTTGAAAAACTGATGGAAAAAATCATCCGGATATCTGCTATAAACTATGTTGAAGGGCATAGTCTTCTATTCAGAGAAAAACATAGTTTTCGGAGAGGCCTATCATGCTTGACAAATCTTCTCATTGCAAGACAAGATTGTGCTGCGGTAAAACATCGGAATATTCCTGTAGATGTGGTCTTCATAGATCTAAGTAAGGCCTCCCATTCTGGTCTTAAATTCAAACTGGAACGTTCGGGAATCCATTATACAGTCATAGACTAAATAAGTGACTCTCTCCATGACAGGAGACAAAGGGCAAGGGAAAATGGAGCTCTCTCCTCGTAGGTACCTGTAAAAAGTGGGGTTCCTCAAGGTACAACCCTCGGTTTTCTCATCTTTTTACTTTATGTAAATGAATTGCCAACTGTAGCGAAATCATCCGTTCTATTCTTCGCCCATGACATAAAGATTTGGAGACCCGTACACAGTATGTCAATAGAATAGTATAACAGGATGATCTTAGCTCATTGGTGGCATGGATGAACAGGTGGTCACTAGAAGTAAATTCCAACAAGAGTGTGGTGATGCAATTAAATAACTATCATGAATCGTATCACTATACAATGTGTGGACACGTGCTACTCAAAGTAATAGAATATAAAGATTTAGGAGTCATATTAAGCAGTGATCTCAAAACCACTGTTCACTGTAAGGCTGCTGCTGCAAAAGGCTATAGGGTTTTATGGTCCAATTGTAGGTCTTTCCAGTGTTTAGATGACGAAATGTTTAGATTATTGTACCGGATTTACGTGTGACCACATTTAGAATATGGGATTCGAGCAGCGAGTTCGTGTTTAAAGTATGAAGCAGATATTTGGAAAGAGTCGATTGACGAGGGACTAAGATAGTGAAAGGTCCATCTGGTCTATCCTATGAAGACAGACTGAAACACCTTAACTTATTTCGTTATCTTACCGTAGAATACGTAGTGATCTAATATTGGCTTATCATATATTAAACGATGACCTTGGTATTAACATATCTTGTCTTTTACTTTTGTCTAGGATTGTTTATTTGAGAGGACATTCGAAGAAACTCAAAAGCCGAGATCAAGTCGTTTAAGTTTGGAGTTTCGTTTCTCGCACCGAGTAATGAATTACTGGAATTCCCTACCGGACCATGTAATATCAGCACCTTATATTGATATATCCAAGACGAGATTGAACCTTCAAAATTATTACACACTGCAAGTATTAATATAGGTCGATAGACCTCCAATCCTTTTACTAAAAACGATAGACTATATTTTTCTCTATTCAGATCTAATAAGGAAGAAATACGAACAACATCTAGGTCGACATCACAATAACCAGCTTAACATCCTAAAAAACGAACATTTTGCTGTTTCTACCTAATAATGTTTGCGTTTTGAATATCCAAGTTGCTGTGTGGATTTTGAGTTTTGCGTTACTGTTGATGAAGTCAATAAGCGACTCGGGTGGGTATGTGTCGTTTGGTCTCCCAGAGTTTGAAAACTCTCAAAAAACCAGCGGATTTCTGAAAAGATTTGTGAATAGACTGACAAGCAGTACTACAGTTCACACAAAGGATGCTAAAAATAAATTTCAGTCCACAGAAGTCCCTCAGATATCAGCTGATAGTGTAAGTTTGTTGTAAGTGTTTGGGTAGTCTTTGGAAACAACCTAGATTATTTTGTGCTATTGGTTCTGGAACTCTTGGACAGGCTTCGCATGCATCTTCAAGACATCATTAATGAATCTTTTTATGTAAAATCTGTCTGTTTATTCGGTTTAGTTTTCACTGTTTCCATGTTGTATTATGCACTTCTAAATCAAACAGTCAGATAAATCTGAGAATTCATTACAAGTAAATAGGAAATCGCGCAAGGTTTTCATTTTTGGTGAGTAAGTATGCAGATCCTGCAACAGGAATCAAAATCACGGCCAATTAATAGGTGCTCTTTAGTTGACCTTAATAAATCAGAACGAATTTCAGGTCAGCCAGTATAAAATCATAATACTTTTAAGTAGATTCCAAGTCTCTAGAGGTTACTTAGGGATTTGTAGTTGAATAGACGATGATGTAGTTATTTAGCCTCATGGATGGAAAATATCTCCAACAGATGCTTATGTACTAGTGAAGATAGTTTTTCAACCGTCCTTATGTCTTGTCAATGTTTGTATAGATTAACATCAATGATCAGCACTACAAACACTAATACGTATCAGGTGCACTTCCTTACCGAAGTTCTATTAAATGATCTTCGGAAGCGGTTTTTTTTCCCTTAAAGTACATTATTATCACGACCAGTGGTCATCTTGCTTATTTAAATTATGCGTGTTAACCGAAACTGACTCTTGAGATCACACCTTTCCGTTCCTACACTTTGGTTTTGCTGTTTAAAATAACCTAATTTTGGTCAAATTTATAGCATTTATTCCTTTTGTTGTGTCTAACACTGGTTTGTTATGCACGACAACTTCGCTTTTTGATCAAAAACTTACGGTTCCATGCTCTTTTATCAAGGGTCTTTAAATAGGTGTTAACTTTGGCATTGGTTTGTCCTATTGTTAGATTCATCTCTTTCTGTATTGTTCCAAGCATCTAACCCTACAAGTATCATAACTTTTAAAAATCTAACTAGAAGGATGGGACTTGTTAGTAAAATACATTATCTAGTGTCTTAATGTCACTTTTTTTCTCTTACCACTTAATCATGCTGGTACTGGAAGGAGTTGAAATGTATACATGACCTCAAGATCTTGCGAAAGACACATGACGTGCAGTCTATACAAATATAATTTCGTCTCTGCACTTCAGATATCACTAAAAATTATGTGTATATGCGTAGGTAAATGATGCCTTTATAATGTTTGGTTTGTTTGAAATATTGAAACGTCACTTGAAATATGACACTTAGAAATGCTATGTTATGAATGATTGACTTACTGTTTATCGTTTAGTGAACCAACCTCCGATTATAAAAAATTTCCTAGTAATTCTTGCTTACGCAACTTCATATGTGCACATACTAAGTTGTGTGCCCAGTAAAAAGAGATTTCTCAGCCGCACTAGACGATTGACCGTATGCCTAAAATCATTGTGTGATCACAGTGCATGAAGAATAATTTAGTTCGCTTGTTGCCAAATGTTCGCGACATGCACATACTTTGTTCTATGAATCATCTAAAGTAGATCAAACTAATGCGCTCCACAAAATTGTATCTGCTTCCTGTTTAGTGTTTAACAGCCCCAATAATTTGTGTACCCCAGCTTCTCTGCCTTGACTAAGAATTGCATCACTATACGCGGCTTCAATTCAGGTTTTATATTCATTTTAAACTGCTACCTCTAAATAAAACAAAATGATTACATTTTATAAATAAGACATACTTAGGCTTTGGTCTTCCATTTACCATTTGATCTTTTAGCAGTACTACTCACTTTTATAAACTTGATAATTTTTTCGATACAACCCATCGCTACTTAAAAATCTAACAAACCAACTTTCAGGATAGTAAAAGAAACCCTCTCAGGTCAATTAAAAGTTCCAAATTATTTAAATTATTGATGGGATATAGAATGATTGCTAGACAAGCAATTTCAAATTTAGGGGTAGGGTTCTAGGTGAGAAGATCAATGAGTGAGTTTGTAAACCAGTATAAACCGAGGCTGCAACGTGCTATTCATAACTAGCCATTAACTTCTGCAAGTGTCGATCAAAACGATTACAGTTTTGATAAAGGGTAACAGGAGTAACGTCTACGCATAACAACCGCTAATAAATTCCGACTGTTCGATCAATCTTATTCGAATCGAAACTCTCGATGTTTCAAATCAATGAACTTGTTCATTATTGGTTAAAAAGCTTTGAAGATACACTAAGTTACTTTACCGTAAATGTTAAAAAATATATTGCTTCATGCTTGTTCTGTATACATTCATGTCTTCAGTCCTGTCCAATTTTAATGTTCTACTTTCGTTGATCATATACTACTGATGCTTTTTGTAGCTCCTTTTCTTTTATCCACTTAGTAGTGTTCAAAGTTAGTTATTACTGCACTTCAACTAAAAGGTGGTATGTCAGTTGAAATAGCTAAAACACTTTCTCACAGTTCAATAATATGAATTGTTAATAGTTTGTATTGTATCTAAATTTCTGTAGAAAAATGAACATAATGGCCTCTCAGCATTGGATGAAAACATATCTGACGGAATGTCTAACTCTTCTTCACATAATCAATTGCCTGGATCTATTCGACCACCGGAAAGACGTTACTGGATGCAAGATGAAAATTGCAAATTTTGTTTTGAATGCGGTACACGTTTTACTGCCATCCGCCGTAAACATCATTGCCGTGTTTGTGGGAGGATATTTTGTAATCAGTGCAGTAATCAGGTAAGTCTGTAAGATTGGTTATATTTCCAGTGAGTTATTTTTTCAATCAAGTGATTTTTCATTCTCATCAGTAACGAGTTCGAATTCTCAGTCAGTAACAACGTAGAACTTCGTACGTTCGTACATCAGTTCGAGTTGCCACACTACATTAGCACAGAGATGCAGTTGTCGACTTAAATTCCGTAGTGGTAGAGGTAGTAAGAGTATAAGCAGTAATCGGAAACATTGAGGCTTGAAGATGTTATTCAAGGAGTATAATCCGGTGAAATAAATTTGGAAAGAGAAAAAAGAAAGGGACATGAAGAATTCAGAAGATTAGAATTGAGGAGAACACAAAGAGTGGATGAACTTGCGCCATTGCAAACGATTTTGAACCATGTCATTCAGGGTCTCTAACCATCAGTTGCTATCATCTCGCAGTCCCCAACCAGGTAGTCTACACCTACCAACATGGTTCAGTCCACTTGACAGTGACTTCATGTACTTGTGCCATGTTTTGCTCTGGCCGCCCGTAGCTTTCTTCCAATCTACTCTTATACCATTGAACACACCACGTCGAGGCAGTCGGTCGTTGGGCATACGTAACACGTGTCCAAGCCATCTCAACTGATGAAGTTTCACTACGTCATCAATTGATTTGCCATCCTTACCTAGTAGCCGTTTCCTAACAACTGCATTACTTACTCGATGGTCCCAGGATATACGAGCAATATTTCGAAGACACCTATGATCAAATACTAGTAACCTACGGATATCCTTTACTCTTATCGGCCATGTTTCACTGCCATAAAGTAGGACGGAACGAACTTCTGCGCAGTAAACACGTCCTTTGGTTGATAGACGGATATCTCGCCTACGCCATAAATGACGCAAGTTGGCAAAAGTTAGTCGAGCCTTTTGTATCCGTGCTGCGATTTCGTCACACACCAGACCACAAGGGCTGATGAGACTTCCAAGATAAGTGAAGCGATCGACACGCTCAATTACTTCACTCCCTATCATTAGTTCGGGTGTCGATGCAACCCAATCCTGAAGCAACATTTTGCATTTCGAGGGGGAGAATCGCACTTCGAACATGCTTTTGTCTTTTCTTATAGACTGGCACAATCAGTAATTGGGACCAGTCAGATGGGATTACGTCCAGTCCCCAAATTCTACCTAAGACCTCAGTTAATCTCACTGCTAATACAGGACCACCATCTTTAAAAATCTCATAGGTAAACCTGTCAGGGCCTGCTGCTTTCCCTCGCTTCAGATTTCCTATGGCTTTTTCAACTTCATAAAGAGTCGGAGGACCTACATTAACTTGCCATTCAGGTTGACTGGAGATCGTGGGAAACCGAAGTGTTGCTGAAGGACAGTTGAAGTGATCCCTTAAGTGTTCTGCCCATCGATCCAATCTCCTGGATTGAGATTATGTAATATGTCCATCTTTCTCTGAGATTGTTTCGCTAACAGTCGGTTTCCTAATACCGGTTTCCTTAACAAGTCTGAACAATTGTCTGCTATTACCTATTGCCGCTGCCTTTTCCATATCTCTTGCTTTCGCTACCCACCACTGTTCACGATCATTGCGTAGGCTTCTTGTCAGCTTGCGCTTAAGCTGACTCCGCTAAGAGGTTTCCTTGCTGCGTCTTTCCTACGTCGAGCAAGAATCAGGCAAATACGCGCTCGCACTAAAGCATGATCTGAGTCTAAGCATGTGCTCCAGAATGAGCGACAGTCTTCTGTCGAGCCCCTCCATCGGTGGCTGATAGCGATGTGATCTATTTGGGTCCAACCTTGGGATGAATTAGGTGGTCGCCATGTCAAGAGATGTTTTTCCTTATGCTTAAAGTTCGTATTTGCAAGAAACAGGTGGTTATTTGAGCATAGCTGCAACAGACGGTCACCATTATCTGTTCTTCAAGGCACGACGCTATAACATTCATCCAGTTGTCTTTCTTTTTCGCTTAGTTTACCTAATTGAGCATTAAAGTCATCAGCCACTATTGCTACATCAGATCGCCTAGCTTTTCGGAGAAGGTCGTAAAGCTTTCTGTAAAACTTATCTTTTACATCATCTGAGCTGCAGTCAGTGGGAGAATAGGCAAAGACGACAAGGAGGCAACGACGAGTGTCCCTATGCTCCCGAGTTCTTACTGTTCCGTTTAGTCGGACAACGCACAAACGACTGTCTACTGGGATCCAGTCTAAGAGAGCTTATTCTGCCTTAGGACTTAATGCTATACCTACACCAACGGAGCCACAGGAAGCAGCATCAGGGCTTACAAATACATGAAGTGTGAATCGTGTTGGTTCTTTATTTTGACATGGTGAGGTCAAATGAATGACGCTACTCGGATCCTGTATGCACGTTTCGGAGACGCAGCACACATCGATGGCGCGGGATTCTAAAGTCCTAGCTAAGGAAGCCCGTTGTCCTCTTTGGCACAGTGTTCGAATGTTAAAAGCTCCTACGTGTAGTTTAGAGCGTGGTATCAGAAGACCAGGAATAACGTTCCACGTACTCGAATCGTTTGCCCTAACAGTGCGAGGTGATAAAGGGACGTGAGAAGGGTTAGTCATGGAGATAAGAGAGGTATTAGGAGGTCTAGGAAGGATTTGAATGTGACCAACTTGGTCTCATGTGCTGTTACGGCTATGAGGGCTGATGTCACTTTACGGCTGCCCACACCGTGGAAGGGTATTTCTTGAGGAACCTGAAAAGGAAGTCGGATTAATGTCGGCCTTAACGACCTGGGAGCGTGACCGCAGAGTCCAAGGGACAACTGTTTGAGGCCGGTCGCTCACGGCTTTTTCATGGGCGTTTTTAATGTGTTAGCTCCGTTCTTCAAAGGGCCTTACCGCTGGAGATGGAAATCCGTGAGTTAAGGTGAGGTGTAACATTTTAGGGTGGATCTTTTCTAATCCCCTCCTTCTTTACGAGAAGGCAGCATCGCTGCATATGCTGGTTGTCCGAGGGAAACACCTTACTGCTGTCACATCCCTCTACAGTCGGCAGTACGACTTCGCCCTCAGACCTTGAGTTGTTGCTTTTAGTCTTACCGTTCTCGAATCGATCTGCCTGGCGTGGTAGAACCTACAGGAACATATGTTCCAGCCAATATAGCTCGGTTGGGTCATCACGATAGGCAAGCTCGACCACCGCGTCAAGGTAGCAGCTACGGTCGGATTCTACTTTATCTATATCGAAAAATAACCGATCAATATCGTAAATCGTCATTATTTTTGTGATTAATAGCTATATTCACAGACGTGCTATAAGTAACCGAGTCACATCAGGTGTTTTGAGAACCTTCGCTTTTTGACCTCTGAGACCAATATTAATCAAATAAAGCATGTAGATTTACAAGTGTCATTTAATACTACAGTAGCATCTGTCGGGAATATCTAAAGGACTAGTGAATCTCGGAAATTTCTCAGTTAGTTGATTTCTAGGACCATTGCTGCGGGCCTCGAAAAGTAAAATAAAGTGGAGATAAAATATCAGATGAAAAACGTTATAAAATGATGATTGAGAATAGCGGAGAAAGGGAAAAGTGATGGGAACTTCAATAGAGATAAATAAAGTGGGGGAATTCCTCTAAATTCATCGTACAGACAGGCTAACAAGTTAGTATTCAATGAAACTTCCTTTGAAAAGTGATGAAATAGTGCTTTACTCATAGACTAAGCAATTAGAGCAGTTAGCATAACAGTTTAAGGAACAATTCAGTTGATTACCGACTTGTCTTGAATCACTCATTATCTACAAATATCGTGAATAAAACCCTAACATAATATCTGCAGCTTCTAGCTAAGTCGAGGAAACTGCGATAAATTTTAAGGCATTGATCGGTTAACTTTGATAACCTGTAAAAATACTAGCATACGGTCAACAGTTAGATTCACTGAGATATTAGTTAGCCTGAAAGGTTTGTATAATTTTGTCGGTCACAGATCGCTATGGCTCTTAACACAGGTTAAAAATCTTATTGAAATAACCGTAAACCAATCAGTTTGACTGATAATAGCTTTCCTGACCATCCAACTCTTAGTTGGAGTTTAAAGTCGGTAACCTGTTTAAAGTAACAGGTTTCAGGCTTGGCTATAAATGTGTCGATCAAATATTTGCTCCACCTTCGGCGGCCCCTATGTGCCCTGGTATGGCTGAGAGTGTAGAGGGCCCTCCCCCCCTTCTCGAAATGCTCTCACACGGTCACGCGTATACAGCCTCTGCCAGAGAAGTCCTACTCACTACCTTCTCGTGGCGGGGTGTTTACGGAAATGAGAGGACGAAAAGCAAATGTCCGGCGCTTTAACCGGATCCCAAACCAATGGTGCACATGGGCTCCAGTATTCTGAGGGAACAAATGGCGCATGAACCAGTTGTTGGTCACCGGCTACCATGGGACTGCATCTCCTTACGATGCTCCACTGCCTTGTGGGTTAGACCTTTAGGTCAAAGGCTCGGGGTGTGGCCCCCCAAGAAAACCACGTGCTTCGGTTTGGGCACCCGGGCAGTATCACAGCCCATACACCAATAGAATGCAATGACGATACTTATGGAAAATACTATTCTTGCTCCAATTAACAGTCAAACGATTCACATTATTATTATTATTATTATTACTATTACCATTATTATTATTATTATTATTATTATTATTATTATTATTATTATTATTATTATTTACTACGTCACTTGTTCACTCTCTTTTATTCCCATTTCGTATATCCATATTTTTCGACTTATACAGCAGCTCGCCTATAGAAACTCGGTTCTATCTAAACGTTCTCAAGTCACTGACTGGTTGAAAATTGAATGCTACCATCGAATATGAGTACTGAAGCAGTTTTTCTGAAACCACGTGCACCATTCAAACTGGCTGCCTTCAACGTTCGCACATTTATGCAGGTCGGACAACAGATAGGGCTGGCTATGTCTTTGGAAAGTCTTAATATCGATGTTGTTGTCTATCCGAGACCCGTATTCAAGACTCTGGCGAAGTACTACAAATTCGATCTCCATCTGTCGCTTCGAAAAGCTTGTTTTACGTGCGCTTATCCGGGGACCCTGTGGCATCTTCGTCTGGTCTTGCTGGCGTTGGTGTCGCACTAAGCGCTAGAGCTGAGGCAGCACTAGTCGATTGGATCCCCATTAACAGTCGGTTATGTGCTGTTAGATTAGAAAGTTCCATCAAAGTGAGAAGAAATCGGCGTGAGAAACGATGTCTTTTCGTCATCTCCGCCTATGCCCCGACAGATTGCAGCCCGGATGCAATCAAGGATGAGTTTTACCACCAGTTATCTGTTCTTCTCCAGAAAGTGCGTTCGACAGATATTGTAGTACTAGCCGGAGACTTGAATGCTCAGGTCGGGCGTCTAGGCACAGAAGAGAGTCGTTTAGGTGGCCGATGGGGACTCGTTGGTCGCAGGTCAGATAACGGGGACCGTCTACTGCAACTTTGCACAGACCACAACCTGTTTCTGGCTAGCACTAACTTTCGGCACAGTCATCGCCGATGTGCCACCTGGCGTCCTCCCTCTGCATCTCAAGCCTGGACTCAGATTGATCACATCGCGATCAGCTACCGCTGGCGTGGTTGTGTAAAAGACTGCCGCTCCTTTTGGAGTACCTATCTGGACTCTGACCATGCCTTGGTCTGCGCCAATCTTGCCTTACTTTTCAGTGGACAACGAAGTGACCACCATCAACGGATTGATGTTAGCAAGCTGGTTGCAACTTCTGTTGCAAGTAAGTATCGAACCGAGCTAGCCTCTAGGCTAGCTACCACTCCACCGAAAAGTATAGATGAGCATTGGTTGCAATTGCATGACGCCATGAAAATGGCGGGAACAGTCAGTTGTGGGTTTGCGAAACGTCCCGCTTTTAAGCACTGGGTTTCTTCTGGTTCCTTACAACTCATTGAAGCCCGTCGGTCTACTCCGGGTGACCGTGAGTTTGACCATAAACGAAGGATGTTACGTAAGGAAATTGGGCAAAGCTTGCGTAAGGACCGAGAAGCCTGGTGGTCGATGCGTGCTAATGAGCTGGAAGCAGCAGCTGCATCTGGTAACTACCGGAAGCTCTTCCAACTCATCCGAGCCACTGGCAGCAAGAAGTCTGGTGTGAGTGAAACAATCTGCGAGGATGATGGGATGCCAATCACTAACATCCATCGACGTCTTGGACGATGGGCAGAATTTTTCGAAGGGCAGTTCAACTGGCCTGCTGCTCCGGCAACATCGGTCAGACTGTCCTGCCCTCCATGGCCGGTGACGACTGATCCACCAAACGAGGAGGAAGTCCGCAAGGAACTCCAACTCTTGAAGCGTTACAAATCACCTGGCCCAGATGACTTACCTCCGGCTCTTTTTAAAGATGGTGGTGACTTTTTGACTAAGGAATTGACGACGTTGTTTACAAAGGTTTGGGAACTAGAGAGTGTACCAACGTCATGGAATGAGTCGATAGTTGTCCCTATCTTTAAAAAGGGTTCACGTCGTTCCTGTAACAACTATCGGGGGATAAGTTTACTTCCGATTGCGTCCAAGCTATTGGCTTCCGTCATACTTCGTAGGTTGTTCAAAACCCGAGAAAGATTGACTCGCGAGGAGCAGGCTGGGTTTCGTTCTGGTCGAGGATGTATTGATCATATCTTCACCCTCCGCCAAATGTTAGAACACCGCCATACTTTTCAAAGGCCAACAATCGTAGTGTTTCTTGACATCAGGGCTGCCTTCGATTCGTTGGACAGGACTGTTCTCTGGGATTGTCTATTGAAGAAGGGTGTGCCTGAGAAGTTTATTAACATCCTAAAAGCCCTATATAAAAACACCTCAGGCAGAGTGAGGGCATACAACCACCTCTCTCCATTGTTCCATTCGAGCAGTGGGGTTAGGCAGGGTTGCCCAATCTCACCATTCCTCTTCAACTTTGCCATCGATGACATTCTGGAAACAGCTCTGATGAATGTAAGTAATGGTGGTGTGGATCTGTTGCCTGGAGAAAGACTTCTCGACCTTGAGTATGCGGACGATATTGTCTTACTGTGCGATAATGCCCAAGGCATGCAATCCGCACTTAATCAGTTGGCAATCAGTGTCCGTAGGTATGGTATGTGCTTTGCACCTTCGAAGTGCAAAGTACTTCTACAAGACTGGCAGGATTCCAATCCTGTACTCACCCTGGATGGTGAGCAGATAGACGTAGTCGAGAAGTTCGTGTATCTGGGTAGCTGCATAAGTGCTGGTGGGGGTGTGAGTGATGAGATCAATGCACGTATAGTGAAAGCCAGAGCGGCTTATGCCAATCTGGGCCACCTTTGGCGCCTTCGTGATGTTAGTCTGGCTGTAAAAGGTCGGATCTACAACGCGTCGGTGAGAGCAGTTTTGCTCTATGCTTGTGAAACCTGGCCTCTCCGAGTTGAGGACGTTAGACGACTCTCTGTGTTCGATCATCGCTGTCTCCGAAGGATTGCTGACATTCAGTGGCAACACCATGTCAGTAATGCAGAGGTTCGGCATCGTGTGTTCGGGCACAGAGATGATAAATCAATTGGTGTCACCATCTTGAAACACCGACTTCGGTGGCTTGGACATGTTCTACGAATGTCGTCCCAGAGAATTCCACGTCGTGCATTATTTGCCGACTCTGGGACTGGTTGGAAGAAGCGGAGAGGTGGTCAGTGCATGACATGGTGTCGTGGTATGAATGAAAGCTGAAAAGGGCTGGCTTTTGTTGGCTATCTTGTACCAATATTCATGTGTTCGAATAAATCAATAAGCTACCTTCGGCGACTGTGTTGTTTGGCTCAGAGTGGGTAAGCCCCCAATGCCCTGGTACGGCCGAGGGTGGGGAGGATCATATCTTCCTCTCGAAATGCTCTCACATGGCAACACGTATGCAGCTACTGCCAAGGAAGTGCTACTCACCGCCTTCTCGGGGCGGGAGTGTTTACGGAATTGAGAGGACGAAAAGCGAATGTCCGGCGCTTTACCTGGGTTGGTGGACACGGAGAGTGCACCTAGGGAAGTTAAAAAAACCCTGATTCCAAACCAATGGTGCACATGAGCTCTTGTATTCTGAGGGAACAAATGGCGTATGAACCAATTGTTGGTCACTGGTTACCATGGGACCATATCTCCTTACGATGCTCCACTACCTTGTGGATCAGACCTATAGGTCAAAAGCTCCGGGTGTGGCCCCCCAAGAAAACCACGTGCTTCGGTCTGGGCACCCAGACAGTATCACAGTCCACACACAAATCAAGTGACTTGTGTGGCGCATATGTATTCGGTGCCCTTTGTACCAATATTTATGTATTTAGATAAATAAAATCTTATTGATGCTTTCTTTCGTCCTTCTATAGATCTTGAACATGTTCGTCCTGTATTTCTCATTCTTCTCAGCCTCATAACTTTTTCTCGGAATATGTTTACTTTTTTAGTTCTTGGCTTTTAACAGAGTTGGGTGGTGGCTAGCAGTAGAACTCAGGACGCACGTCTCGTCCTATTTGGGACTCGTCAGCGGGATGTACCTGCATCCCAGAGTCGATGTTCACTCCGAGAATCGGACCCAGTACCGTCCGCTTCAAACGTCATCACGTTAACCAATTAGGTGCGGAATCCTGATAGTCACTAGTTTGCGATATAGTGTGAAGTTTGAATTCATATTGTTTTGTTTGTTTGAATCTTCCAATTAATGTTTGAAACCTCAATTGACCAGTCTTCATATCACAAGCTAGTGGCTATCGGGACTCAGTAGCTAAGTGGATGGCGTTTGAAGCGAACGGTACTCTTGGCTCGAGTCCCGGAGTGAGCGACAGCTCTGGAATACAGGTACATCCAGCTGACGAGTCCGGAATAGGACGAAACGTGCACCCTGGATCCGACTGCCATCCACTATCCATGTTTGCTTATAATGCTTGTGACTCTAGGTAATATCGAGGCAATCCACACAGGATGCACATATACCAATAACAGAATGATCAACTGCCGTTCTAAATATCAATGGGAAGATTCGAACAAACGATATAAAATGATAACAGTATTATTTTTCCTCGAACACCTTCCAAATCTCAAGTTCTTTAATAAAATTGTGGGTACTGGAAAATATTTCTGCTTCGAATTTGCAAACACTTATTATCACATTTGTAGAAATCTTTTATTTTCAATCTTCCACTAATTTTTGTTCTTCCTACAAATATGTCATATAAATTTTCTCTATCCATCTAAGTTTTAATGCATTTGTTTTCATTTGTTAAGATTGTTGAAGGGACACAAATTGGACTTGATGGTCTTCAACGAGCCTGCAGTTATTGTGCTGAAACACTAATTAGTACTAATACCAATAAACCAGAACATTCATTGGACAAAAGTTCTGTCAGATCGCTAAATACAGACAATATTCATGGTTTGAAGAAAAAAATAAGCTTGACAGAAAAATCCCAGAGAAACAATAATCGACCAAAGTCTGTTCCATCTCATGTTAGTCATCTTTCCAATCTCACTATACGCATGAGTACTGGTTTGTTGAATATATCCAATTCAAAAGCATTGCTTACTCCACCTTCATATTTGGACAGAATAGCTGTAGATTTAGTTAGCCCAAACAATTCTACTTCTACCAGTTCAGCAGATGGATGCAGAGACTTGTTTCCTACATTTTTCTCGGCAACCTTCCCAAACGGTAATGATGCATCTCCGTCAGTGGATTTTATTAGACAAACAATGTGCACCATTGAATCTAATACATTTGGTGTAATTCGTCGAACACCGCGCATAAGTCAAGGTCCAGTTTTAAATGAATCGTTGAATATAGATATTTGCAGTGCTCCATTCAAAAAAATTTCTTCATCTCATTCGTTTGAATGTTTACCAAGCAGTGCATCGCAGTCATTATTCAATTCATCAGCAGGTCAAGATATACTTTATTTATGGTCAAGACTTTGGGCTAATTCATCAAAGGATCTTGATTTTTCAACTATCAGTATTTCACAGTTGACTGCATCATCAACTCGACCATTAAGTCGTGTGCATAGCCATTCAAATGAAAATTTAATGAAAGATAATAGTTCATTCAAATCGCTACAATTATTTAGATTAAAAAACGAAATGAAGAGTACTACTGTACTTATGGCCTAGCACTAGTTTATTGGTTAGTCAATAATATACCGGGTTTGGAACGTTGTAGGTTAGTTTTTTTTTGAAAGATTGCTTGCCTGCAACCCAGGTTGTACTCATATAACTTGGCGGTATGCTTGAAGTTTTGTTGGGCACTATGAAAAAACTATACGGTCTTCGAGAAAGTGGCATAAAATTGCCTATATATATGGGGAATTTGTTTAACAAAATGCAAATGACAGCTATTGTACAAATAATTATTAAAAAGGCAGTGTAAGTCACTAACCAAGCTTTAAACCTTAGTTAATTAAGTCTGTTGGTGGTAATACCCTTACCACAAAACCGGTAGTGTATTTCATAATAATGATCCATTGATTGAAAGTAAATTGCCTTAGATGGATGAGTTATTTACCAGATCATAATTGGAATGAGAGAGATAGGATCATAGATTTAAGTGTTTCATTAACAATTAGTCGTTTACAATATGTGAACCTTATGTCAAGTTGGAACTTTTTCAGTTTACGGGATTGATATTAGATCACGGTTGATAATTGAAAGTGTTTAAAACCTTCCCCTCACTTCAAATGTACCTTTTTGTACTTTTTTCTTATGAATTAATTCTGTTACAGAATGAAAGGACGACTGGTCTGCCAAAAATTTATCGACCTTGGTTTACTAACTGATCTACAAAATCCTAACTGTAAACAGTTTTATGACAACTTTACATTTTATAAATTAAAACAGGTAAATGATAATTTGTTATTTTTCTTCTTCGTCAGTACACCGATAAAGTATACTTACATTGACTGTATCGGCTATCCAGGCAACTATCTTTAGTAGTTGACATTTAATGACTTCATAAGACAAATTTAGATCTGGTGTCTTCCACTATTATTTTAAAATACGCTATGAAACTATTAGGTTGTTTTTTGGTAGATATAAATTGTTTTCATTGTGCTGGGTATGATAGTCTTTTTGTTAACCTGTTTAACTTATAGGAACAGTGGAAGTTGTTGTTTTCATCCATTAATTTATATGCTAAGTAGTGTATCTTTTCATGCCAATATGACCGTTCGATATTTTTGTCTGTCACTAATACAACTTCCGTTCGCATACTATAACTTTAAGCAATGTCCATCTGACCTATTTTTTCTCAAAGTATTATTATGAATACTCGTTCTTGTTCTTTCATTCCCACTCATTGTCATTATAGTTCTCTTGAAAGTCCACTTTACTGACCTGTAGGTACCTTATTCTTTGCACAGTAGAAATAGATGAAACATTCTTCCTACCGTGTGTTCATGGGACTAGACGACGAAGATTAAGAATAGTAGTGCAGCAATTACAATCGCAGTAATTAATGGTATAATGTTTCTTTTAAGTGAAACAAACAACTTAAGTATAATTTAATCTAGGGTTTATTGAGTGCATCCAATTAGATATATTAGGTTGACTTTAACCTAATGAAAATATAATTGACTTCTGGTCAATTTCCTTAAAACCTCAAAAGTCAATAGGATATTTTCCAGAACAGTTTGTCTGATTACCGATGTCTTACTAGTTTATCTAACTATTTTAATAATACCTTACTATTAGTCTTTTTCACATATATTTTATGGTATGGAAATTTCGATTCATTACATAATATTTTGTGTTGCTCCCCCCTCCCCATAATTTACTAAATTCATTTAGTATATTATCTGTTACAAAAACATTCACTGACGGAATATACCCACTGAGATATAATATAAGAAAGATTGGTTCAGCAAGGAGTTCTCCTTTTGGCGAGTTCATTTTCAAAGCTGACAATCGCATTTATTATTATTATTATTATTATTATTATTATTATTATTATTATTATTATTAGGGCCCTACTTAATGATAGTCAAGCTAAGAGTATATTTCAGGAACAACTAGGAAAACAGTTACGCAGCCATGTATGTGATGCCCACCCTGAGGCAGCATGGAATGATATCCGAAAAGCTGTGGAAACAGCAGTGATATCTGCCAGTAAGGTAACCCGTAAGGTTAGGGAGCAACACTGGATCTCAGCAGCATCTATCTCACTGATAGATGCTCGAAAACTCATTCCACCTGGCTCTGAACATAATGAAGAGCGGAGTCAGCTTAAGCGCAAGCTGACAAGAAGCCTACGCAATGATCGTGAACAGTGGTGGGTAGCGAAAGCAAGAGATATGGAAAAGGCAGCGGCAATAGGTAATAGCAGACAATTGTTCAGACTTGTTAAGGAAACCGGTATTAGGAAACCGACTGTTAGCGAAACAATCTCAGAGAAAGATGGACATATTACATAATCTCAATCCAGGAGATTGGATCGATGGGCAGAACACTTAAGGGATCACTTCAACTGTCCTTCAGCAACACTTCGGTTTCCCACGATCTCCAGTCAACCTGAATGGCAAGTTAATGTAGGTCCTCCGACTCTTTATGAAGTTGAAAAAGCCATAGGAAATCTGAAGCGAGGGAAAGCAGCAGGCCCTGACAGGTTTACCTATGAGATTTTTAAAGATGGTGGTCCTGTATTAGCAGTGAGATTAACTGAGGTCTTAGGTAGAATTTGGGGACTGGACGTAATCCCATCTGACTGGTCTCAATTACTGATTGTGCCAGTTTTTAAGAAAGGACAAAAGTCCTCTTGTGACAATCACAGAGGAATCAGTTTGACTAATATAGTGTCTAAAATATTAGCTTCAATAATACTTCGACGCCTAATCAAAGCTCGTGAAGAGCAGACTAGAGAAAATCAGGCTGGTTTTCGACCTGGACGTGGTTGTATAGATCAGATATTCACACTACGTCAGGTTCTAGAACACAGACACACATTCAGACGCCCCACAATGGTAGTATTTCTCGACCTTAAGGCGGCATTTGACTCTGTTGATCGTAAGGTTCTATGTCAGTGTTTGTCATTGAAAGGAGTATCAAAGAAGTACATTAACCTTATAAAGGCTCTCTACTCGAACACAACTGGTAGAGTGAGAGCTTATGGCGAACTGTCATCAGAATTGATTACCTCAAGTGGTGTTCGTTAGGGCTGTCCACTCTCCCCATTCTTGTTCAACTTTGTCATTGACGTACTTTTAGAGATAACACTCTCCTCATCTAAATTTACTGGGGTTGAACTTCTACCGGGAGGTTCACTTTTTGACATAGAATATGCCGATGACATAGTTTTATTTGGCGAAGACGCTGACAAAATGCAGAGTCTTCTGACCACTCTAAGCAACAATGCAAGCATGTTCGGGATGCGATTCTCCCCCTCCAAATGCAAAATGTTGCTTCAGGATTGGGCTACATCGACACCCGAACTAGTGATAGGGAGTGAAGTAGTTGAGTGTGTCGACCGCTTCACTTATCTTGGAAGTCTCATCAGCCCTTGTGGTTTAGTGTGTGACGAAATCTCAGCACGGATACAGAAGGCTCGACTAGCTTTTACCAACTTGCGTCATTTATGACGTAGCCGAGATATCCGTCTATCAACCAAAGGACGGGTTTACTGCGCAGCAGTTCGTTCCGTCCTACTCTATGGCAGGGAAACATGGCCGACAAGAGTAGAGGATATCCGTAGGTTACTAGTATTTGATCATAGGTGTCTTCGAAATATTGCTCGCATATCCTGGGACCATCGAGTAAGTAATGCAGTTGTTAGGAAACGGCTACTAGGTAAGGATGGCAAATCAATTGATGACGTAGTGAAACTTCATCAGTTGAGATGGCTGGGACACGTGTTACGTATGCCCAACGACCGACTGCCTCGACGTGGTATGTTCAATGGTATAAGAGTAGATTGGAAGAAAGCTACGGGCGGCCAGAGCAAAACATGGTACAAGTACATGAAGTCACTGTCAAGTGGACTGAACCATGTTGGTAGGTGTAGACTACCTGGTTGGGGACTGCGAGATGATAGCAACTGATGGTTAGAGACCCTGAATGACATGGTTCAAAATCGTTTGCAATGGCGCAAGTTCATCCACTCTTTGTGTTCTCCCAAATTTTGATCTCCTTATTCCTCCTTGTCTCTTATTTTTCTCCTCTCAAATTTATTTCACTGTATTATACTCTTTAAGTAACATCTCCAAACACTAATCTTCCCGATTACTGCTTATACTCTTATTACCTCTACTACTACGGTATTTGAATCGACCACTGCATCTCTATGCTAATGTGGTGTGGCAACTCGAACTGATGTACGTACGTACAAAGTTCTACGTTGTTACTGACTGACTGACTGATTATTATTATTATTACTCCTGATGAAAATGTTTTAATACCTTTGTTTATTCCACTTCACTGTTATCATGTTTAACAGAATTTTATTATCACTGTTATTGTAATTATCATTATCTAGAAAGTATATACATAGTTTTATTGTAAAGGGATTGAATGTTCACAGATGTTTATTCGCAATATTTATTATTGTTCCAGATTGATTCAAATAGTCGATTATATCATCAAACTGATTCAAGAAGAAAAACTGTGGATTTTACTTCATTTTATAATAATTTTAATGTCAACTCAACTTCTACTAATAGTACTACTTATTCAAGTATACTTGAGATTCATGAACCAAATTGGTTATTAGAGATTAATAGTTCTGAGAATGAGATTTCTAGATCTTCTTCACCTTGCTTGATGGCAAGCTCCAATGATTTAATATCAAAACCACCTGGGGGTAAATTAATGGATATTATAGTTTCTTGTATTTAAATTTTTATTAATTGAAATTCATGAACACAGAAAAGATTGACAAAATATGTCAAATTTTGGCACATATTTTTCATATATTGTTCATTTTTTATGCAATCTTGTCAGTAAACCTATCGAAAGGATATTCAGTTGATTAACACAAATTTTCAAGAGAACATACAAGTTTGACTATTGACAGATATATAAACAGAGAGAGTAAATTAGGTAGAATATTGTATTTGTTCATGGCATTTTTCTATTCATATAGATCTAGTGACTGAGTGTTAGAACAGAATACCCAAATAAGTTGTTTCTTCGTTATTTCTGATGGACAAAATAATTTGTTCAATCCGTTTCTTTTGACATAGAAATGAGTTGCTACCTAGTTTGTAAAATTTGTACCAGGCGGAAATTAAACAAGTCGCAGTTTCATGAATCTATAATGTTAAGCGTCCTAGTTTTATTACGTACATGTTGTCATTTATATACATCAAATGTGATTGAAAAATCTACAAGGTCTGTAGTGATACCATACATATGTTTATTAATGATATACATATTCCCTTCCGCCTGGAGCCCCTCTGAGGCTTTTGCCAGTCCCAAGCCCGGATAAAGGAGGAGGGTTGGACGTGGGGTTAGCGACCCCACCCCATAGAAAACTAACTTACCAAAAAAATGCTAACCAGAAAAAAATTATCCAAACCATCTAAACTCTGCCCTGGAAGTCAGAAGGTCTTCATTTAAAAGAGTTATGACGCCTCATGGTGAAAGCCGAATTCCTTCGGAATTCACTAGGCTGATGCCCCTTCTGACAAACATTTATTTAGGTACATATAATGTTCGTGCAATGTGGGAGACTGAGAGAGTCTTCCAAATTGCTGCAGAAATTAGGAGACACAACCTGGAGTTGCTTGGGATCAGTGAAACACAATGGACGCAAGTTGAACAACAACGACTAGCTTCAGGGGAGCTTCTGTTATACTCTGGCCGTGAAGAAAAAAATTCCCCACATACACAAGGAGTTGCATAGTTTATTTATTTATTTATTTGGACACATGAATATTGGTACAAGAGAGCGCCAATATATATGCGCCACACAAAACAATGAAAATTCGAGAGGAATACAAAGAAAGAAAAAAAAAGCTAAGGAGCGCAACAAAAAAAGAGAACAATAACGAAGAGATTGGTGTAAGGTAATGTGCTAGTAATCAGGGAACGCAAAGGTACAATCAGAAGAAATCTTTCAGGTAAGGGAGACACAACCACTTTTTATGAAGAAAGTAAAAGAAGGTTACAGCAGGATCGCCACTGGCTTCTATTCTGAGCCATATCTGATAACGTCTCTAGCCACTGTGTAGCACCATCTCTCAGACCCCAACCAGGGAGTCGTGAAGGACCAACACAAGCCAGTCCTTTGCAGCTTTCTTTCATGCCACGACACCATGTCATGCACTGACCACCTCTCCGCTTCTTCCAACCAGTCCCAGAGTCGGCAAATAATGCACGACGTGGAATTCTCTGGGACGACATTCGGAGAACATGTCCAAGCCACCGAAGTCGGTGTTTCAAGATGGTGACACCAATTGATTATCATCTCTGTGCCCGAACACACGATGCCGAACCTCTGCATTACTGACATGGTGTTGCCACTGAATGTCAGCAATCCTTCGGAGACAGCGATGATCGAACACAGAGAGTCGTCTAACGTCCTCAACTCGGAGAGGCCAGGTTTCACAAGCATAGAGCAAAACTGCTCTCACCGACGCGTTGTAGATCCGACCTTTTACAGCCAGACTAACATCACGAAGGCGCCAAAGGTGGCCCAGATTGGCATAAGCCGCTCTGGCTTTCACTATACGTGCATTGATCTCATCACTCACACCCCCACCAGCACTTATGCAGCTACCCAGATACACGAACTTCTCGACTACGTCTATCTGCTCACCATCCAGGGTGAGTACAGGATTGGAATCCTGCCAGTCTTGTAGAAGTACTTTGCACTTCGAAGGTGCAAAGCACATACCATACCTACGGACACTGATTGCCAACTGATTAAGTGCGGATTGCATGCCTTGGGCATTATCGCACAGTAAGACAATATCGTCCGCATACTCAAGGTCGAGAAGTCTTTCTCCAGGCAACAGATCCACACCACCATTACTTACATTCATCAGAGCTGTTTCCAGAATGTCATCGATGGCAAAGTTGAAGAGGAATGGTGAGATTGGGCAACCCTGCCTAACCCCACTGCTCGAATGGAACAATGGAGAGAGGTGGTTGTATGCCCTCACTCTGCCTGAGGTGTTTTTATATAGGGCTTTTAGGATGTTAATAAACTTCTCAGGCACACCCTTCTTCAATAGACAATCCCAGAGAACAGTCCTGTCCAACGAATCGAAGGCAGCCCTGATGTCAAGAAACACTACGATTGTTGGCCTTTGATAAGTATGGCGGTGTTCTAACATTTGGCGGAGGGTGAAGATATGATCAATACATCCTCGACCAGAACGAAACCCAGCCTGCTCCTCGCGAGTCAATCTTTCTCGGGTTTTGAACAACCTACGAAGTATGACGGAAGCCAATAGCTTGGACGCAATCGGAAGTAAACTTATCCCCCGATAGTTGTTACAGGAACGACGTGAACCCTTTTTAAAGATAGGGACAACTATCGACTCATTCCATGACGTTGGTACACTCTCTAGTTCCCAAACCTTTGTAAACAACGTCGTCAATTCCTTAGTCAAAAAGTCACCACCATCTTTAAAAAGAGCCGGAGGTAAGTCATCTGGGCCAGGTGATTTGTAACGCTTCAAGAGTTGGAGTTCCTTGCGGACTTCCTCCTCGTTTGGTGGATCAGTCGTCACCGGCCATGGAGGGCAGGACAGTCTGACCGATGTTGCCGGAGCAGCAGGCCAGTTGAACTGCCCTTCGAAAAATTCTGCCCATCGTCCAAGACGTCGATGGATGTTAGTGATTGGCATCCCATCATCCTCGCAGATTGTTTCACTCACACCAGACTTCTTGCTGCCAGTGGCTCGGATGAGCTGGAAGAGCTTCCGGTAGTTACCAGATGCAGCTGCTGCTTCCAGCTCATTAGCACGCATCGACCACCAGGCTTCTCGGTCCTTACGCAAGCTTTGCCCAATTTCCTTACGTAACATCCTTCGTTTATGGTCAAACTCACGGTCACCCGGAGTAGACCGACGGGCTTCAATGAGTTGTAAGGAACCAGAAGAAACCCAGTGCTTAAAAGCGGGACGTTTCGCAAACCCACAACTGACTGTTCCCGCCATTTTCATGGCGTCATGCAATTGCAACCAATGCTCATCTATACTTTTCGGTGGAGTGGTAGCTAGCCTAGAGGCTAGCTCGGTTCGATACTTACTTGCAACAGAAGTTGCAACCAGCTTGCTAACATCAATCCGTTGATGGTGGTCACTTCGTTGTCCACTGAAAAGTAAGGCAAGATTGGCGCAGACCAAGGCATGGTCAGAGTCCAGATAGGTACTCCAAAAGGAGCGGCAGTCTTTACACAACCACGCCAGCGGTAGCTGATCGCGATGTGATCAATCTGAGTCCAGGCTTGAGATGCAGAGGGAGGACGCCAGGTGGCACATCGGCGATGACTGTGCCGAAAGTTAGTGCTAGCCAGAAACAGGTTGTGGTCTGTGCAAAGTTGCAGTAGACGGTCCCCGTTATCTGACCTGCGACCAACGAGTCCCCATCGGCCACCTAAACGACTCTCTTCTGTGCCTAGACGCCCGACCTGAGCATTCAAGTCTCCGGCTAGTACTACAATATCTGTCGAACGCACTTTCTGGAGAAGAACAGATAACTGGTGGTAAAACTCATCCTTGATTGCATCCGGGCTGCAATCTGTCGGGGCATAGGCGGAGATGACGAAAAGACATCGTTTCTCACGCCGATTTCTTCTCACTTTGATGGAACTTTCTAATCTAACAGCACATAACCGACTGTTAATGGGGATCCAATCGACTAGTGCTGCCTCAGCTCTAGCGCTTAGTGCGACACCAACGCCAGCAAGACCAGACGAAGATGCCACAGGGTCCCCGGATAAGCGCACGTAAAACAAGCTTTTCGAAGCGACAGATGGAGATCGAATTTGTAGTACTTCGCCAGAGTCTTGAATACGGGTCTCGGATAGACAACAACATCGATATTAAGACTTTCCAAAGACATAGCCAGCCCTATCTGTTGTCCGACCTGCATAAATGTGCGAACGTTGAAGGCAGCCAGTTTGAATGGTGCACGTGGTTTCAGAAAAACTGCTTCAGTACTCGTATTCGGTGGTAACATACAATTTTCAACCGGACAGTGACTCGAGAACGTTTAGATACAGTCGGATTTCCACCAAAGACGAGCCGCTGTATAAGTATAAAAGAGGGTGAATAATGTGGAAAATAATAATAATAATAATAATAATAATAATAATAATAATAATAATAATCAATAATAGTAATAATAATAGTATTAATAATGACAATAATAGTAATGATAATTATTTGAATCGATTGATTGTTTTTCGGAGCGAGAAAAGCAGTTGCCATAGACATAGAGTTCATCGTTTGTGTGTGGGCTGTGATACTGCCCGGGTGCCCAAACCGAAGCAGGTGGTTATCTTAGGGGGCCACTCCCCGAGCCTTTGACCTAAAGGTCTAACCCACAAGGCAGTGGAGCATCGTAAGGAGATGCAGTCCCATGGTAGCCGGTGACCAAAGATTGGTTCATACGCCATTTGTTCCCGCAGGATACTGGAGCCCATGTGCACCATTGGTTTGGATCCGGTTAAAGCGCCGGACATTCGCTTTTCGTCCTCTCATTTTCGTAAACAACACCCCCGCCACGAGAAGGCAATGAGTAGGACTTCCCTGGCAGAGGCTGTATACGCGCGGCCGTGTGAGAGTATTTCGGGAGGGAGAGCGGACTCACCCCACTCTCGGCTGTACCAGGGCATTCGGGGGTCATATGCCAATAAGAGGCTGATCGATTGCAGTCCTAAATATCAATGGGAAGATTCATAGAAACAATACAAAATGTATTTATTCACGTTTTAATTTTTACATGGGAAATAAACTTACTGAACCAATCGCCAGCGTATTTTAAATAAAGTGACCGTGAATCCAATAATCCTTTTATTAAGGGTTCATTACCTTGGATTATTAAAATACCGTTTTATTTATCGTGTAATATATTTTCTTCTAATTTATCGGTTAGTGTTTTATTTATGAATATTTTGCCAAGTAACCGTCTTATTTTCGATATTTTAAACACGATTATTGTTCAGTTCGATCCAGTTTTGAAGTTGGAAAAGATGTTAGTAGAATGCGAGATTGTAGTCTTGAATCTCTTGGTTCAACACAAAAATGGAAATATACAACACAACCAACATTAAATAACCAGCAGCAGCCAGTTGATCTTTCAGTACAGCTAAATACTGGCTTACTGATGAATACTGATGAATACTTATGTAACATGAAGTGAGTTTTTTCTTACATTTGTGTTTGTTTCTATGACTTTTTTAATAAACATATCATTATTTGCTATTTTGGTTATGTACAATGGTTAATTCTTTCAAGATTGATATGGTTTACTGGGTTAGAAGTTTTTGAGGTCGAAATAATAATGAAATGAATAACATTATAATTTTGCGAAGTGTAACAAGTTAAACTAGTTCACTTTGCATGAAGTTGTATGTTGACGTATTTCATTTTAATATATTCTCCAAATTATACTTAATTATAATCAGCAGGTGAATTTGCACTCTCAACTTCTGAAAAGAGGAAATCCAGAATCCAGGTATCTGTCGTTAAAAGTACAAGATTTTAACTACTCAAAGAGAACCTTATATATTGAATAAGATTATACATGGTCTTCGACGAAATCTATCTTGAGAGGAGAGTTTTTGCTTGAGCTGACTTTGAGAGCAATTTTCCCGTGCTGCTTCATCGTGTGTATAATAGTTTACTTTTGTATGAATACAATATTATATTCATTCAATGCGTGTTAGATAACTAACATTACCCCGTCTAATTACTAGGAGGTGTTCAATGACATATCATTATTCTTGTTAAAACAGTTCATAGTACTGTAACAACCCTGTCACTGAAGCCTTTTGCATAGTAAGGAAATATGTATCAGAAATGATGCACTTACTTTTCACCACAGCTTTTGTGGTCACACATTTTCGTTGTATGCATAATCACCATTTCAGCTCTCGACTTTGAACATCATCCCAGGCCCCTTGGTTGCTAATCATTTAATAACAGTTCCGTATTACCTCTGTATTTCTTTTCTTATTGCTCTGAAACGATGTACTCCATTTTTGCTTGACATCATTGACACAACTTCAAGCAAAGATGTGGAAATCGGGAGATTAGTGTTTTATCACATATCAGATGTAACTTATACTACGAGATAGAATCTATTCAAAACCATAAATCGAGATTTCGGTCATTGGTGAGGCACTCGCACTGGTATTTCTTACCTTCAGCATTTATTCTAGACTGTTAATTATGATCTTTCGGAACCCAGAATTTTGAAGTATTACAGTATTTTAAATAAGATTAGTTCAGCGAAGAGTTCTCTTTTCGGCGAATTCATTATCAAAGCTGTACAATCGCAAATATATATACTTATTTTTACAGGATGATAATAATATTGATAATAAACTTCCGTTAGACATAGTGACAGTGAGGTTAAATAAACAAAGGTATTAAAAATCTTGTTAAAACAAGGAAAGTTTAATAATCGTTTGATTGTTAATGGCTTAAGTATTTATCAAAAGATAGATAGGGTAATTATCACTGGGAAAGGATGGATCAGCATGAAAAGATAAAATGTTGAAGTTGAGATCAAATGAAATCAGAATGATCGTGGAAACAAAATAAACTAGTTGGGGGTAGAGGATTTAAGAGGAAGATAGAAGGTGAAGCATATGACTGTAAAGGAAGAAGAGTATAAAAAGAGGAAAAAATTATAAGACATTAAGACCATGGTAGAAGAAGAGGTTTTACCAGTCTCTTATGCACACACAGTTCTGGTTTTTCTAGATGTATGGCTAATGCTTCGGCAATTCAAAGAAGATACAGTCTAATTGTTTTTGGAAGACTTCTACTTACCTTGTAGATGACTTTGAACGCAGAGTCTGTCTTGATCGAGTGACATGTGCTCACAAGGTGTTCGTTTATTAAACTTCTTATTGAGCCGTTTCCTCCTCTTTTTAGCCACGTCGGACAATGTTCTTGAATTCTTTTTGATAAAGTACGCATCGAACGACCTATATACCTAGCTCCACATGAGCAGGTGAATTAGTTAATGCATATTGGGTTGGTCAAATTCGATAATTTATCTTTAAGATTATTAGTGAACAACGATTGGCTGGATAATACTATTCGCAATCTTGCTGCAAAGAATGTTCTTTCTAAGGAATCAGAAATTCTCCTCTTTAGGATGTATGTAGCTCTGTTACCTTTGAAGTCGATGTTCATGTATAAAGTTTTCTTTTCTACTGTAATTATTTGTGTTTTCGGAGTTCTCGGCTTCATTTTCTTATCAATGAATATCGAAGGATACCCGTTTTTGATAAGTATCTCCTTTAAGAGGCCCAATTCTTCATCTATGAGGTCGGGACTACAAATTCTTCGTATTCTTGTGGAGAGTGTTATTATTAAGTTTCTTTTTCTACTAATAGGAACCCAGCTGTGGAAACTTGATAGTTGGCTATTCCACATGGGTTTCCTGTAGATAGATCTTCTTAGAGTACCATCATGCTTTCTTGTCATTTCTACATCAAGGAAGTCAATATTTTGTTTTCAACTTCTGATGTGAATTTTATTGCTGAGTGGCAATTATTAAACATCTCAGTTATAGAATCAGACTGATAGTTCGGTTGAAGAATATTTTACAAGAAAATTATTATCCAGCTGACTTCGTCATAAAGTATTTATCCGAACCAAAAAATAAAACAAAGACCACCATGGTCAGTAAAAAAATTTTTATTTAAAACTTAATTTTAAAGGCAATGCAGCTGGTGATATTTTGACATCTCATCTTAAAAGACCTGTTAAAAAGAGGTTTAACTCTGTTAATTTTTATGTAACCTTTTTAACTAAGCCACTTTCTACCCAACGAATCAATGATAGTATACCAGTGATTTGCTCTTCCATATGTGCACACCAATATGACTGTTCTTGCGGAGTTAGTTACATAGGCCTGACGTAGAGAGCATTAACCTTGAGTACTTATGAACATGTAGCGATATGATTAGGGAAAGGAGTCACGAAATAGGTCAAAAGTGCCATACTTTCTCAATTAGTATGTAGCGAACATCATCCCAAAATAAGTGAAGCCCTCCCGTTTCTGTATTAAGTCCCGAACAATCTACCTGAAGAAGCAAAACTAGGGCTCCTATATGTAGCGGAAGCGGAATTAACTCCAGAAAGCGGAACTTATGCGTCTATTTCTCCACCTATTATGATCCATCATAGGGTCATCCCATACAATAAACTATATAATAGACTCTTGCTGCCAATATACGTTTTACGTTTATCTCTCCCGTATCATTCCTAATTTGCACATTATCCTTGCTCAATTCACGTGAATTTATTATCTCAGTCATGTTCTTCTGACTACATATTTTATTTACATGGTTGGAATATTATCACTATTAATGCTATAATAATAATAATAATAATAATAATAATAATAATAATATTATTATTATTATTATTATTATTATTATTATTATTATCAGACATTTCTCTTATTTTGCATTCTGTTCACATGATTTATCTAAGCTAATTGTTTGCAACTTGATACCTTACGTTGAAATTTCCAACCGTTTTTAATAGATGACCTGGATTCGAAAAATGACATATTCTAAATATATCTAGACCTTTACTTATGAAAAATTCATTATTTTGAACAGGTAACATAGTTAATCTTATTCATTCACATGTGCCTTCCTCTGGCCATTTTAACACAACAATTATGTATTTATAATGGCAGGGCCTGATGACAAAGTGACGGGAAATAATTAGTTGCTCAAGAATCTCTTGTTTCTGAACGTCGTAATTTAGATTCTGTCACTGACTCTGGCAACTAAACAGGAGCTTTAAAATATAAAATATGTTAAGTTATATTCTCGATTCACTCTTTTTATTCCGAGTACCTCATCAGTGCTCCTTCGCCCCATCATAGGATTCGTGGGTAGCTAACTAAACATGTCTCTTCATTCCTCAATCATCACATTTTCTAATATATTTTTTTAGTGATAGTTTTAAGAAATCTCAGTATGTGCTTTCAAGCTTGTTTCAACAAAATTGTTATCTATAGATGTGCTCTAAATATGTTTAATTATATCAGCTAGAATTTTGAAGTGTATAAAATTTGTTTGAATAAACCTTCTTCAATTACGTCTTTCTGTTCCTATGTTTATTAAAAAAAAACTACTATTAGGAATATCTTTGATAAACATATATATCGGTTGGTTTTACAAGATGTACGAGATAATGTCTTAGATTCTAGCTGGGCATCAATTCTAATTCGTTTGGCATGGAATGTTTGTCAAACGGTGCACTTTGATTTACGATCAACTGGTTTACGTTATTTTCAATTTAATCGACAACAGAAGCAACAATCTCAGTCAAATAATGAAACCGTAAAAAGTAATGACGTACAGAAATCTGTTATGAATTCTAATACTGTCCATAAACAACAAGTTTACTCACCAATGGATATTCGATATTATGTACATATTAAAAAAGTACGTCCTAACCTACTGACTATATATTTCAAGTAGTGTTTTGATAATTTAAATTTTATTTACAGTTTAACTGACGATATGATCATATTTAGCCTTATAAATGATTGTATGTATGTTATTAACTAATTATTTTACATTTTTAAACCATATGTCAATGATTTGATTTATCTTGTTATATTCGGTATTTTGAATTGTCATGGTTGATTACCGGGATGAAAAAGTTACAACAGTCATGAATATTACAGATTTCAAAACAGTTTAAATAGACAAATTACTCAGTTTTTAGCTTACATGCTTGATAACTTTTCCATAATTTTTGTAAAAATAAGAATTTCACTACGTTTTTTCATATTTGCTTTAAGGATTTCATTGATTAGATCATTGATGAAGAATATGATATTGATAGGTAAGAATCAATCCTGATTGTCAGATTTTACCCTTATTGATAGGCTAGTGATCTAAACAAACATTTTTTTTCAAAAAACTAATATTTTTTTTACATGTGTGTGACATTTTATTAGGAAAAAGCCTGTTCTTCACTGGCCTTTTGCTACGATTTTTCATACTAGTTAGTACATCTGGTGGTTAGCATAGATAATTTGACCTGATGCGTAATTAATTATTATCCATATAATGATATATATTGCCAGTGTTAGTAACATCATTAGATCTTATTTCATTCATAAACAGTTGGTTATTTTACATATTATTTAATTAATAAGTGTTTATTTATTTTAACACTATCATTATTTATGTTTGTTGATTAAAATAGCTATTGGATGAAGATAACAAAAATTCAGACTTGTTCCCTGGTCTTATTATCTCTAAACGTCCAACTCACAAATTAATGCCAACTGTCTTAAATAATCCACGCATACTTCTATTGGATTCATCTATAAATTATCAACGTACTACTTCTAAAATGACGTGGTTAGAATCTCAGATTATGCAAGTATGAAAACATATATGTATAAGGATATATTTTATATTATTTCGTCTTATAATACTTTTCATTTTTAAATAACATCTGATGTTGATATTGACTTGATAAATCATATTTGTTTGCTGGTAAAATGATTATTTATGATATTCTCTACTCAATAATACTTCTTAATTTAGAAAATTCAACAAATTTTTCTTCTTAGCATTTTGTGTTATTCTGATTATGTAGAATAAATTCAATGTAACCTCTTCCATATCACATTTAGGCATCAATATTATTTACATTGTATTCGTAGTTTTTACTTTATTTGATAGTGAAAAATATTAAACTTATGTCATCAACATAAATCGTATATATTGCTCTCTTAATCATAATGTATTTAGGTCCATCATATCTTTGTGTACGAATTCTAAAACCTAATACCCTACGTCTAACTTTAAGATTGCTCACACGCTGGTTCTAACATACACGAGCAATGGTTTGAAACTATGATCAAATACTAGTAATCTACGACTGTCTATCTTTGAATTCCTCGTTTCACAGTCATAAAATAGATTAGAACGAACTGCTGCTCAGCTTGTCTTTTGATTGATAGACGGACATTTCGTCTGCAGAGCAATGGTTAATGGTAGCAATTGGGTGTGTTCACGCTTTTTTCGACATCCGATATATGTGGATGGTTAATTATGTTTTTATTGCACTAAAACGGTATACGACCTATATTTTCTCCTTTTTGGTTGTTGCAGGAAGAAGAATACATAACCAATTGTGTTTGTAAAATTCTCTGTCTACACCCCAATATTATATTCGTCAGTGGGACTGTTTGTTATTTAGCACAGAATTTTATTTTCAAAGCAGGAATCGTTTTATTTTCCAATGTAAAACAGGTAAGCGTCAATTTTTAAATTTTTAGCAATCTCAATCAGAAAAGAGTGCTTATGATAATAAGTTTTCCAAGGCTACATTTCTCACAAATGACAATTTGTTAATAATCATTTAAACAATTACTTGTTTTCGATAATTTCTCCCACTCAGCCTTACAATTAACGGTAGAAATGTTTATTTAAAATATATAGATCTTTATGCTGAAGTTCATGGAAAAAAAAGAAAACGAACAACTAATTTTTGTATTCATATATATGGACGGAAAATTTCTCAGAATATTGTTTCTGCTATGTATACTTTATAAGTGTTGTCTCACAAACCTCTGAAGCTTTATTACTTACACTCTTTATATGATGTTGAGTGATGATCTCTTTTGAAATCGTATTCTGTCTACTAGATAAAACAACATCTAACGTTTGATAGATTCATTATATCTTTTACTTAGCCATACTGCAGTGTTTAAGACAGTCACGATGGGCTTGCCAGATCTTCCTATGTAAATGTCTTCGTAGGTGTAGTTAAATCTAGGAGATCTATTCATTACTCACATCGTCTGTATACAGTAGGACATAAATAGAATATATGGTCTTGATGACAAAGAAATGCTTGGTAATATTATTATTATTATTGATATTAGTTTAGGTGTAAATAGTTTAATAATTACATTCCCTTTGAAAACATGTGGACTATTAAATTTTCTTACTCATGTCAAACCGCTTCCTAATGCAACTTTCGTTGTTGCAACCTTCAAAAATCTTTACTTACACGTGTTACCTCTCGTGGAGGTGCATATGCCGCTCACCAGCATTCTCCATCCAACTCTGTCCTGGAAAATCCTTTCTATTTACTGTTCGTTCTTTTGATGTCTGCTTCCAATTCTCGGCGCAGTGTTCTTTGACCTTCCTCTTTTCCGTTTCCCTTCAGGATCCCAAGTTGGAGCTTATCTTGTGATGCCGTTTGATCATTTCTTCAATATGTGTCCTATCCACTTCCATCGTCTTTTCCTTATTTCCTCCTCAACTGGGGGCCTGTTTTGTTCTCTCCCACAGTAGGCTGTTGCTGATGGTATCCGGCCAATGGATGTTGAGTATCTTGCGAAGACAGCTATTTATAAATACTTGTACCTTCTTGATGGTGGTTGTTGTAGTTCTCCAAGTTTCAGCTCCATACAGTAGAACTGCCTTGACGTCGGTATTGAAGATTCTCATTTTGATATTGGTTGAAAGTTGTTTTGAGTTCCATATGTTTTTCAATTGTAGGAATGCAGCCCTTGCTTTGCCAATCCTTGCCTTTACGTCTGCATCTGAGCCTCCTTGTTCATCGATTATGCTTCCCAGGAATGTGAAGGATTCTACATCTTCCAGAGTTTCGCCATCAAGAGTGATTGGATTGCTGTTCTCCGCTTTGAATTTGAAGACCTTGGTTTTCCCTTTGTGTATACTGAGGCCTACTGATGCAGAGACTGCTGCTACACTGGCTGTCTTCATCTGCATCTGTTCGTGTGTACGTGATAGGAGGGCTAGGTCGTCTGCGAAGTCCAAATCGTCTAATTGATTCTGAGTTGTCCATTGTATTCCGTGTTTTCCTTCAGATGTCGAGGTCTTCATAATCCAGTTGACCACCAGAAGAAAGAGGAAGGGAGAGAGTAAACAGCCTTGTCTGACTCCGGTCCTTACTTGGAATGCATCTGTCAGCTGTCCTCCATGCACTACTTTGCACTGTAGTCTGTCGTATGAGTTCCGGATAATGTTGACAATCTTCTGAGGAACTCCGTAGTGTCGAAGAAGTTTCCATAATGTCCTCCTATCTACACTGTCGAATGCCTTTTCATAATCAATGAAGTTGATGTATAGTGACGAGTTCCACTCCACTGATTGTTCGACGATGATCCGTAGTGTTGCAATTTGGTCTGTGCACGATCGATCCTTACGGAATCCAGCTTGTTGATCTCGCAGTTTGGCGTCTACTGCATCTTTCATCCGGTTCAGCAACACTCTGTTGAAGACCTTCCCTGGTATTGACAGTAGTGTAATGCCTCTGTAGTTCTCACATTTGCTCAGATCTCCTTCCTTTGGAATCTTGATGAGGTTTCCTTTTCAGTCCATTGGCACTTGTTCCTCCTCCTCTCAAGTCTTTTTGAATAGAAGGTGAAGCATGTTTGTAGTTACTTCGATGTCTGACTTCAGTGCTTCAGCTGGTATGTTGTCGGGTCCTGCTGCTTTCCCGTTCTTGATTTGTCTGACGGCCATTCTGATTTCTTCCTTCGTTGGTGGGTTGTTGTCTATGGGAAGATCTGTGTGTACTGCTTCGATGTCCGGTGGATTCATTGGAGCCGACCTATTCAGGAGTTCCTCGAAGTATTCTACTCATCTGTTCCGCTGTTGTTGAATTTCAGTGATTGGTTTGCCTTCTTTGTCTTTTACCGGTCTCTCTGGTTTACTGTATTTCCCTGCTAGTTTCTTCGTTGAAAGCACATAGATTTGCAAATCTTTCTCCATTTTCGTTTCTCTGTCCCAGTCCATGTCGTCCCATGATATCTTCATATCCGGTGTTGTCTATTCCGACTTTGGCATTTAGATCTCCCATCAGAATAGTTAGGTCCTTTCTTGGGCATTTCTCAATGATTGACTGTAGCCGCTCGTAGAACTGATCTTTAATGTCGTCGTTGCTATCATTGGTGGGTGCATAACATTGGATAATATTCATTAAGATCCCCTCCTTCTTTGTTTTGAATGATGCTTTGATGATTCTGGATCCGTGAGACTCCCATCCTACAAGTGCATTTCGTGCTACTTTGGACAGCATAAGAGCGACTCCCTGAGTGTGTGGAGCATTTTCCTCTCGTAACCGAAGTATAGCAGCATCTCTCCGTAGCTAGCCTTTTCTGTCCAGCTTGGGTCCAGTGGGTTTCGCTGATTCCCAGTACTGCTAAGTTGTATCTCCTCATTTCCATTGCTATTTGACTGGTCTTCCCGGTTTCCCACATTGTTCGAACGTTCCATGTACCTATAAAAATTTTTGCTCTGGTTGTTAGAAGGGGCATCGGCCTCGTGGCTTCCGAAGGAACTCGGCTTTCACCATGAAGCGTCATAATTCTTCTAACTGAAGACCTTCTAACTCCCAGGGCAGAGTTTTAATGGTTTGAATTATTTTTTCTGGTAAGCGTTTTTTTTAACGAGTTAGTTTTCTACGGGATGGGGACGCTAACCCCATTCCCAACCCTCCTCCTTTACCCGGGCTTGGGACCGGCAGTAACTCTAGAAGGGCTACAGGCGGAGTTAGGCGAGGTTTCAGAAAGTTTTATTGAATAACTTCCCGTACAGGTGTTATGTTGATATCATCGTCCTTTAGTGAATACCTTCCAAGCATATATTTCTGTACCGAAATATTAAACAGTAAATGAGATTCTTACAATATAAACAGTTTGCTTGTTGTAATTTAAGTGGTTCATTCAACAAATAAGTATAGCTTTCTATACTGTTGATCTCTATTAAAGGAACTCCCCATTATTGTTTCTTTTACTTTGACTCGCTCATATTTTCTCGGGACAGTTAAAATAGGAATAAATCAGTTCGTTGGGTTTACACGTATAATCCTTTTTTTAATAGTCGGTGTTGTACCGTATTGCACGAATGACGGGTGCTGATATCTTGGATTCGATTGATCGGTTAATGAGCAATCCTTCAAGAAAATCAGATAATAATACTCAAAAGTCAACAACACGTCTTGGTGTTTGTAATCATTTTGAAGTTAGACAATTACATTTACCAGATGGTAAGTTTCTGTATGCTTTGCCTAATCAAATGCTTTGTTTTATAACTTTTTAAATTCTTTGTACTCCTTAAGCTTATAAAGTGACCTTGGAATCCCATTGAAATCAGCCTTTAGAGAAATGTGTTGGTATTTATAAACTCAATATAAGACGAATTCCTCTAGTGAATCGTACCGTTACTAAACCTACTAGGTAGCTAAAAGGAATGAATTTCCGGTGTTGTATTCTTTATCATATTCCTAATCTGAAAGTGACAGCACCATTTAAAGAGATTTCTTGTTACATAAAATTGATTTTATTTGGCTAGCAGTGGGATCCAGTACACGCGTTTCGTCCTCTTCGGGACTGCTCGGCTGAATGTATGTGCGTCCTAAACTTGATGATCATTTCGAAACTTGGACTCATTATCGTTCATTGTAAACGCCAACGTGTTATCTGTTTAGTTACTGAATCCAATTATCAGTAACGGGATGATAATAATAATAATATTTTTGTTATATCCTAGTGAAGATTAAATTACAGGTAATTTCCGAGGACTATTAGTGGACTAATATTCTATAAATATTCTTCTTGTTTAATTATTCAATAACTAAATTATGTGTATTTATATTCCCCTTATTATAAGCTTCATTTTGACCTATAATTTATTATTATACGACCTACTGTCCCTAAATTATGCTCAGTTTGTTAACTACTGCCTCCCACGTTCACAGCCACTTTTTGTGTACAAATAGTGTTTCCTATTTTATGGTGCGTTGCGGTCTGTTTGATATATAAACACAATATGTTTGAAATATATGGTTCGTATATTGGAAGCTGGTATCCGGTATTCTGGACTCAAGTGGACGGGCTAGGCGGACATAGAACCAGTAAAGACGCTAGACTGCTCATACCAGTCGAACGTCATTGGTTTGGCACAGTGCGAAGATTGTATAAGTTGTATTTTGATTGGTGGATAAATCACGTGATAAAAAGCCGGACATAAAGTCACCAATTTTGTTGTCTGGATAAATACAATTTTTTGAACTTCGTAAATGAAAATTTAAAGTTTCTGCTTTACGTCTGCTTTTATTTGTAAATTACAATATAATGTAATAGTACTTATCGTAGATATACTTCAATGTTTGCAATCTTTTCGCTTATCGCAATTAAAATATACTCAATTTTGTTAGCATTTCAAAGCATAGATAATGGAAGGTAAGTATTTTGTTGCAACCTGATAAAATATTTGAATGTTTGGTTCGGGTTTTATTTTGTAACACTGTTAAGCGTTTTGAAATTTCAACAGGCTTCCTAGTCTGAAAAATGTCACACGCTGGATTTTATGCTTTTCATAGTATTTTCCTTTCATTTACTGCTTCATTTTGCCAGATTCTACGAAATTTCTTACTTTCATCAAAAATAATTCTACCGAAACTGGTTTGGCGCTTGATTCTAATCCTATCCGGTATATCACTCATGAAGCGACTGTTATTCTACGAGATAATGATCTTGCTTCACTTATCCGTGCAAAACGTTGTTTTCTTTTCACATTGCGCTTGTGCTATAATGCACAGTTAGAATTGGCTTATTCAAACAATGATCATATTTTTCATCTTCCTCATTTGTTACTGAATACGGATACGTATTCAAGATCACGTGTACAATCTCTAAATAAAATGTGTTTACATAACGATGCCGAATATTCATCGCTTTCTTCTCCAGTGTCGAGAAAAAAAGCGTTATCCGACCCCAATAGTTCAGTTATTTCTATTGCCTCTGTAAGTGTACTACTTTTTATTGAGCATGATTCTAATATAATCAGTTACTACCATATAAGTATCCTGAAGTTCTGTTGAATACTATGATAGACAAAGTTAACTAATTCATATTTAAAATGGTTAGCTAAAAAAGCATGGTTACTTGCTATAGTAATAATTTTTCTGAGTGATTATTTTGGCGTCGGTGTTATCATTCCTCCCAAATGCTCCGCTGCGGCCAAGAATTGGGAGAGTCAGCTCTCCCCCCCCCGAAATGCTCTACCATAGCCACACGTATATAGCCACTGCCAGGGAAGTTCTGCTCCACTGCCTTCTCGCAGTGGGGGTGCTGTTTGCGAAATCGAGAGGACGGAAAGCGAGTATCCGGCGCTTTAACCGGGTTGGTGGTGGTCACCGGCTACCATGGTACTACATCTAACGTTTCTCCATTACCTATGGATTAAACCTCTATGTTAAAGGCTCGGCGTTTGTCCCCTGAGAAAACCGCCTGCTTTAGTTTGAGCGAATGATGAAGTGCGGCGCACATATATTTGGTGCCTCTTTGTGTCAATGTTTACGTGTTTAAATAAATAAATAAATTATCATCAGTCATTCAAAAGACTTCTTTTGCTATTATTATCTGACTCATAAGTAATTTAAAAACCAGATACGGATGTGCATCGGTCAAAATTCTCATAACTCACCAGCACATAGAGATAAATGGGTATCGGAGTAGTTCAAATCATAGGAATATCAGTGTTAGTAGAATCAGTTAAACACAGAGGAAGAATTCGATAAATAAAAATTTTGGAATAGATTTAAAAGTCAAGATCTGATGAAAAACAAATAGCAAACTCATACCATCGGAACCACTTTCAAATCATGTCATCTAATTTCTCCAACTAGTAATTGCTGCTATTACCCGTACTTTAGTCAGGTAATTTGTACGTACTCATATGTCTCAATCTAACAGTCACTGACTCTATGGACTGATGCCACGTCTTGGCGCCTGTAGTTTTCCCCGAACTATATATTCAGTTATATACTGTTCATTGTACTTTCTTCATTTGTTCATTTTTTTTCTCTATAGACGACCGAACAAACATCTATATCAAACGATGAAGATGACAAAAATCTCTGCTCTGATTTAGCGATATATCTTCAAGGACGTCTATTATCTGTCTCACCAAGTGTTGAATTTCGCTTACCCTATTTAGCATCTAGAGAAGGCCAGTTATCTTATTTATACCCATATTATACTTATGTAATTGACTGGCCGTTAGGACGTAGACTGAATGATTTGATGAAACGGAAAGAAAAAGTAAGCCTTATTTGTTAAATGATTTTTTTTCGATAAATTTTTACCACCATTCTTTTTGGATTGGTTAATGCTAATTACTGGGCATATGTTTATTTGATGTGTTGTGATGTTTATCGGTAATGTCCTACATAGCGTCTTTTGTCTAGTCAAATTCCACTAACACTGAAGAACTAGGAAAACCATTCAGCTATTATAAGTTAGTTTACGTATATTGTGCTATCCCCTTCAAAATTGATTCACAACCGACATAACACAGTGATAATAACTTTACATCTTTAAACTAAAACTTTATACAACCATGGTATAGTATACTTTCCTAAATGTTAAGATCCATAGTGTCTTGAAAATTCTCTTTGTTGTACATATTGAGGCTGTACATCAATTAATATCCTTCTTATTTGTTACACACTCTTCTTTGGTCATTATTATATCTTTTAAGATGCTTATATATTCACAACAATTATAAAGATGCATTTACAAGTTTTTATTTTGTGAGAAAAAGAGGTAATTATTCATTTTAATTGACTCTGATTTAAATTTCAAAGAAGATTTTACAGTTCTATATTCTTTTTATGAACGCACAACATATTTTATAGAAACTTTCGAACTAATATTTTCACAACAGTCGTTCTTTAAGTTAATGAAAGACTTTAATAAAAGATGTCATATTTATAAAGATCTCAGCGACTAAAATTAAAATAACTTCAGTGTTTCGGTGGGCATTCTGATTCCAGCTTCTTCAGGGAATTTCTTATTATTTCGCTAAAGAAACTCAAACAAAACTTTGGATTTATTTCAGTGTTAAGCTCAAAGATTTTTGCGAACATAATTCCTTCTTTTTAATTACATTGGTATATGTTATGATGTATTCAGTATAAATTTAATATCATTTTTTATTATTTACATAACAATTAGTATTTCCAATATTTTGTTGATTTTACCACAGATTTTAAATAGTGAATTGACAGCATTAAAATATTACATGATGAGTGCTAAATTACATAATCATCCATCAAAACATATTTCAAGTAACGAATCATCTCATCCTTTCACAAAGTGTAATTTGGAAATTTTTACATCCCCTACTTTACATAATTCAAAATTAAATCGTCTTTTACCATATTTTCTTAGTGATAACAGTGACAATAATGATAGTTTTAGAAAAAATAATTTTGCAATTGATGGATTAATTATCTCTGAGACATTGACATCATCTGATGAAGCCCTGTATACTGATTATAAAGCTAGGGGTTTATGAACAATAATAATAAACAGGACGTTGAAAGTTGTCGTTCATTTCCACGTCTTTGGGCTGGTATGAACAGTATTTTATCTGGTCATTGGAATTCTTTATTTAATACAAGACATTTGAAATCATTTAAATCAGGTCCTACAAAGACATCAACTACAACTACTGGTTTTACACCCACTTCTAATGTGCAGCTTATCTCGGAATCTGAAAGTGTAAAAGTAAGCTTATTAACTTTGTTTGTTTTCAAGCAAATTAGGATTTTCTTTTATCTTAGGATGAGTGTTTAAATAAACGTTTATTCTTAGTCAAGATTTTACTGTTCATTTTATTTTCGCAAATCTTATACACGTAAAATAAATTTAAAACAACAACAACAACTTCGACTAAAGAATATCACCTAATTCATTGATACTTACTTGCTGTAAACAGTTAGGAACTATTCTAAATCATTATAAAAGCATATGAGCGGAATTATAAAGTCTTATATTGATTGTTCCTTCGATAATAAACAGAAATCATGCAGAGGATCTGATCCTGATTATTGTTGCTACCTTGACTTGGTAGTAGGGCTTGCCTATCGTGATGAACCAATCGGGCTATACTGACTGAAACAATCGTTCCTCAAGGTCCTACCATGCCAGACAGGTCGATTGAAGAACGCTAAGACTAAAAGCAGCAAACCCAAGGTCCGAAGGCGAAGTCGTACTGCTGACTGTACAGAGGTGTGACGGCAGTAATGTTTTTCCCTCAGAGAACTAGCATAACAGCGATGCTGCCTTCCCACAAGGAGGAGTAGGGTTAGAGAAGGTCGACCTTAAAAATGCACACCTCGTCTTATCCCACGGATATCCGTCTCCGGCGGTAAAGTCTCAACAATTACGGAGCCATCACGAAAATTACCCACAGAAAGGTCATGTGTGACCGACTTCAAGCAGTTGTCCCTTGGGCGCTGTGGTCACTTTCTCAGGTCAGTAAGACCACCTCTAATCCAATTTTCTTTTTAGGTAACTTCAGAAGAGCTCTTCCATGGTGTGGGCAACCGGGAAGTGATAACCGCCCTCATGTCTCTAACAGCACTCAAGACCATTGTATTCATAATCAACCTCCCTCTTCAATTCCTATTATTCCTCCTACATCGACGTAGAGGATCTGATCATGTTCCTAGTTGCATTACTTGATGCCAAAACTGAAAGATAAGTAAAAATGGAAATGTAAAGGCAAATTGTAATACAGAAAAAAAACGTCTAATGTATAAAATAATGTGTAAGATTTGAAAGAAAACAATTAGTTGCATACATTTGTTTTATTACAAATTATTGTAAGGTATATAATTTAAAATCTTCAATCGAATGCGTTACCCAAATTCCTACTTTTTATATTTGGAAACAAGAATCATTGCAATTCCCATGATGTGAAGTGGAAACGCCAAGACTGGTAATAATGAAGATTTATTGACTTTTCAAAAACTTAACGTCATTCAACCAAATACACACATTCTATAACTAGTTAATAAGAATCATATATATAAAAGATACACAGGATACTTATCAGGATTACTTTCATTAGAAAAAAATTAGTTTGAAAATAATATTTTGTTTATTTATTTTGTATCATTAATGAATAGCGTCTAAGAAGAAGCATTCTAGATCCACGTTCATATCAATCCTTGAGTTTTCTTGCAATATTATTTACAACAAAATGTATTTTGCGACCAGAACCATGTGTTCCACCTTTGATAGCTACAGTGGAATTTTACGGTTCAAATGATTTGCCGTTAGGATTATTTTTGGAGAAATTTTGTTTCATGTAAGCTTTATCTTTAGGTAGTGTTGATATTATTACAATGTAACTAAAGTAGAATTATTATATTTTGCAGAATGTAACTTTTTAAAACTTTTTCTACATTAAGATTAAATTTAATTCCCGCTAAACTGAATAAGATCTATTTTTAAATCACTCTTTTAAACTGATCCCGATTATGTACTTAGTCAAGGTCGTAGTCTATTTTTTGTTGTTCAACTCAAAAGGACGGATGTATATATAACTTTGGCTCGTGTACACGTCATTCAGTTTGCAGATTACAGCTTCTTAGCGATTTCCCAATACTCTCAGTCATATATCAGGTTGGGTCGGCATAAAGAAAACTCGTGTATTCATATCTAATTTGTAGGAGCCCAGAATTTAACAGAAACACACTCATTGTTTCCGACGACTGGCTACAATCTGTCTGTTGTAATTGATATCAAGTACTTTTCGTTTGGGTTTTTTTCGATGAAGTATAATTATGTTCTTTTTGGTATTTTTTAGGCAACAACATTGCCGTAATCCACTTTGTAATGTAGTTATGGCTGATCATATTCAAAGATTTATTCAAACTTCAGGATCAGTACAACTTATGATTCGTAAATTGATTCAAGATCCACCTCGATCAGAAGTCTTATCAGATATACCAAATATAAGTAGTAATGATGCAAAATATCGTCGCCATTGTCGTATACAAATGTGGTTATTCTGTCCAATATGTCGTATTAATTCACCTATTAAATATATGTCTGCTGATACTTGGCATTTGTCTTTTGTAAAATTTCTTGACTTAATAATAAATAGTTCTGATAATTGGGCTTATTGTGGTCTATTGAATAAAAACTCGGATGATACAGTCAATGAGGTGAACACAACTGATGCGTCTAATGAACCATCACTTAATTCAGTAAGACATGGAATCGACAGTCAAACTATGAGTCCAATATTACAATTCCAGTGCCCACATTCTGTTTATAAATCTTTAGAACATTGCTTTGCTTTTGATCGGAAATTAGCTATTTTTAAGTAAGTAACTGGTTAAATGTTTGTACGAATGTATAGTCAATTAATGTTAAAAATTGAAGGTTATTTCAATTTAGTCATTATTTTGCTCATTTGATTATGAAGATTTTTTCTGCCGCAAACATGATTGTGTTAGTTACAGTTATATTCTTTTGCATTTTCATACTTTTATGGGGTCGTCAGCACTTTATAAAGTCTCAGATTAAATTATAAGCAGAGACGGATGGTGACTAGCAGTGGGATTCAAGACTCTCGTTTTGTCTGATTTGAGACTAGTCAGCTGGATGTACCCGCATTCTAGAGTTGTTCACTCTGAGACTCGAACTCAATACCGTTCGCTTCAAACGTCACCACGTTATCCACTTAGGTGCTGAGTCCTGATAGTCATTAGCTTGTGCAATGACATCAAATTTAATTCATTTTTGCATTTTTCGTTTGCATCTTACTACTGATGTATAAGACTGCAATTTATTATTCTGTTATTGACATCCTGTGCGGACAGTCTCGTAATCACCTTAAGCCACAAGCATTATAAGGAGAGATGGATGCGGGTACGTTCCGCTGATGAGTTCTAAGCAGGACGAAACGCACGTCCTGGATTACACTGCTAACTACTATTCATCTCTGTTTATAATGCTTTTGACTCTAGGCCGTATCGAGACTATCTGCACAGGATGCCAATAACAGACTAATCAATTGCAGTCCTAGTCATCAATCGGAAGATTCGAAGTATTGTATTATAAATTTAGGTCATCTTCAAGTACTTAAGCAATCAACAAACGTTATTAACCATCAAATAGTGATGGCCGCATATCTAGATCGAACTCTCTTTACGATACGTATAGCATTGTGAATCCTTTAAATACTGACAACTTAGCTTCTTCCCAAACTCTCATACTCTCCGATACTTAGATTTTAATGGAAAAACTGCTGTCAGAAAATACTCAAGAAGCTGTGCTTCGAAAATCACTTTATGCACAGACAACAAATTCTTATGGGTCTAGTTAAGGGCGATTGTGATTCTCTGTAGACCATGTTTATGAAAGTTTTAACCCTAATTCCAATGACGTTTGCCACATTATTAGTACTTGCCTCAGTCAGTCAGCCAGCAACACCGTACAACTTCGTACGTGCGTACATCAGTTCAAGTTGCCATACCACATTAGCACAGAGATACAATTTGAGATTCGAATCCCATAATGGTTGAGATAGTAAAAGTATAAACAGTAATAGGAAAGATTAGGGTTTGAAGATGTTATTCAAGCAGTATAATCCAGTGAGATAAATTTGGAAAGAGAAAAAAGAAAGGGACAGGAATCCAGAAGATTAAAATTTTGAAGAACACAAAGTGTATATCGAAATACTTGGAAAGTTAGATGTAGAATCGACAGGACGTCAGTTGCGTAACCTTTCGAGGGTTGAATAAATATCAGTCTGGATTGTATGGAATCAAAATAATATTAAAGAAGCACATGATTTTCGAACCGAAACTAATAATGATACTGCCTTCGGAATCAGCCGATTTGTCAGTAAACTCGTAGACGTCGCCTGTGATGTTAATACAAATGATAAATCGGTCGTCCCTTGATGATGACTGTTGGTTTGCTAGAAACCGAAATTACCGAATTCGCCGTGATGTTTTCCAAGTTCTCGACGTCAACGAAGGGCTGCAAGATGAACATAGAAAGCAAAGTGAGTGATAATAACCGACAATCAATTAATATATTGAAATTTCTGCTGTATAGTTTAGTTTTTAGCCTCATAATAATGTTTATTTTACCCTCAACTATCCAACTTACCTTGATATATGATATTGATCCTCTCATAAGTTATTTTACTTCCTACTACAGATATCAACCGGTCAATGTTTATGAGATTGTTATGCCTCCAAATGAGATTCGTGTGTTCCCGGTGAAAGTCAATAATTCAAAGTCGGGAAGTACCCGCATGTTAACTATGAAAAACCAACTGCTGCAAGTCACATGAACACAAATGATTTGGAAGATGGTTACTGCACGGATAGTACAGACCATACTACCGCTACTGCTACTAAGTCTCATAGTCAGTCAGCTCATCACAAGTGGGGATCAAAAGTTACTAACCTGCAGAAAACATCTCACTTACCAAGTTATCTGTACGCTGAAGCTTCCGACGTTTTAACAAAGTAGGTGTTCATTATTTTAATAGCGTTTGTTACAACGGTGAAACAATCTTATAAGAATAATGAAATAAGAGTGCACTATGCTGAAATGTGATAGTCATTTTGTGTCAAGTCGACCAACTACCGGTATCGTTTTTAAACTGTTTAAATGTATACTAATAAATGTTTACTCTAAGCTGAGATGGTTTAATGATTAAGAAATTCAATTTCTAATCCCTTGATTCCAGACTTGAGTTTTTATGCTTTCCTATCCACATGGTCAGTTTAGTATTATTTTCAGCCTCCGCTAAAATCAGTGTCACACCTTAGAATATTTACTTGTATGTGGGTTGAATAATTGCAAATTTCATGTAAATGAGCACTACATTCCTATAAAGATGAGTAAAACTTCTCGTTCAACACTTCATACCAATAATTACTGACTGCAGCGTATCTGTAAGATATATAAAAAAAATTTCAAGAGATTCGTTCTGTGAACATTCTCCTAGTTCATTTGTTAAATTTGTGTTGATATTCGCTGAAAATAGTCGGGTTTTTTTATTGTACTGACATGCGTTCTTCAGGTGATAAATTATCGAATTCCCGTAACCTGGTTGCATTTGGACGAGTGATGAAAATGTGTTTTTGGCATTTACTTCGTCTGCCGAAGTGTTCGGCATCAAGTGTGGTTTGAGACTCATGTAATTACTTCTAATTTTAAGTCGCTGGAAATTCGTTCTGTCCTCAAGTTGTTATCCTATTCACATATTATTATTTGTAAAATAAATCCATATATTACATTGCACTGTTTCCCTTTCCTTCTTAGGTATTACACTATAAATACTGTAATTAAATGTCATATTGCCAATCAACAAAATGAGAAAATATCTTGCGAACTGTCCGCTATGCTCGAGGCCTATCTAAAAGTTCTTGAAGTAAGAATCTTGATTATTTTCTAATCCGTTTTGTTTGCTTCCTTTTTGTGGTATAATTATGGCATCATGAGCTTTTGTATTTACATTCATTTTCATGTATTGGATAAGACGTGAACTGAACCCCTTCCATTAAGTAGGGAAGAGTAAGTATCATTCATTCAGGCACTATTTGATGTACCGGGCTGACCATGCTGAAATATCTATTCAAACTCAAGTTAAATATGAATGTACTTGTTTTTCTCTTTCAAAACAAAATTCTACGCTGAATAACAAATCTAATGGTAAAGTTCTTGTGACATTTTAAAATTAATTGATCACTGTGCAGTGGTAGTCAGTGTCAGATTTACTTGATCAAGTTACAATATGTTTATCGTGTGGACTGTGTTGAAATGCTGGGTGGTTGGAGATAGTTGATGGTAAACCCCGAGATCTGGGTTTCATGGTATGCACCCTTCAGCAAAACGCACCTGCAATCTTGAAGGAACCAATGCTGCTTGTGGGGTTCAAATTTGCGTCACATAGCTTCATATTCTGAGACGTTACCTACCACTGAGCTTTGCGCACCACTGGTAAATATCTTATTTTCGCAATTGGTCAGTACCGGGATCCGAGTCCCATAGGAATATCTTTTCATGATTGTATATATACTTTGCTGACGAGTGCCAACCATCCTCAGTCTAGGTCCAGAATTTCCTGTTTAATGCATCCAACCACCTCACATATGAAAATCTTCATATATAAATACTTGTTCTTTAAATTGACAAAAGAAATATTATTATTGAGGAAGTATGGGATGTCTTTACTTTAAGTGGTTTAATGTTACGGGGGCGACAGTCGGCAATCAACTGACTTTTTTTGTAGTAGTAATTAACATTTTTTAGTTTGTAGTCAAATTCGTTGAGTCGGCTTAGCTATGGCACTTTTTCGATTGGTTGATCGATTATTTTTCTGTAATATTTCCTGAACTATCCTCTCTACGTATTGTAGTTTGTGTTAATTTTGTTTTCATTATGCTTTTGTCCCTCATAGTGTGATTCCACTCGTATACTAATGGATGAAAGATCAGAAATTTTGGATTTCATTCTACATCCAAGTGACAGCAGTCAAAAGGAAAGGTTTTCTAATAAACAGTATGTTGAAGACATACCAGCGGGTATATCACATAGTCTAGGCCCTCTTACAAAGCCTGTAGAAGATGATTCTGAATCAAATACCATAGAAAATGAAAGATATCCACACCTGATAAACAAACGCCAACTACGGATGAAAAACTCTTTTGTACGACTACAATCCAGTCACGTGTTCGAACTCATTCAAATAGCATTTCAAGTGTTCATTATGGCTCCAGTGAAACCGCTGAACAAAGATGTGATATTTCGCAAAATGAAACCAAATGTCATAATTGGTTCAAACTAATCTCTAGTTTAAACAGTGGTTAAGTATATTTGATATAATAAAGCTGATTATTGTGTAAACAGTTTAAATACTTTGCTTCTTCATTTTTAGTGAATGTGCAACGGTTTCGAATACTTAATTACTGATGGTTTTTATTTTTATCAAATTAGTCATTTATGCACTTAAGTTTTGTTTATTGAATAGTTCCTACCTCTTACTTCAGTGAAGCATGTGATTACCGGTTGAACAAATAATATCCTCTGTTCATGAACAGTTGTTTAAATGTTATTGGTGCACTATCTGAGGTGCTCCGGTGATTTAAAATATATGACAAGTAAACAACCTTTGGAATCCATGAGTCTTCCTGACCTATAATTAATTGTGCCCAAATGAAGAAGCAGTACCAATTCGTAAAGTCATATATTTGATCTTACCTTCTATTTCACTTATGTGACAGCTGGAATTAATAGATTCATGTTTACGCAAAACTTCATACAATTAAAATGTTACTCACTCAGTTTATAAATACAAAGGTTGATTTTCGCTTTATGTTCTCATTTTCAGTTGAACAGGCCTTAATTGTACAAAGATTAATTAATGAATTGAAACGTTGGATGTATCGATTTATTTCAGATTGGAATTTCAGGTTTGTTCTTTACACGGAATACGTAAATGATTTTTACTCTATTTTCGAACTATCGTATAGTGCTATCGTAATAAATTTTTTACAGTCCCTATCATGCTTTTTTCTGAAAAGTGATTATGATTTTAGGAATTATTCCCATCACAAACCAACATCAGTCGAGTAACCAATATTTATCAGGACGAACCATCAACACATTTTCTTCCTTCTGACTAATGTATAGCTATCATACCACACAAAGTTGTCTAGGCTCCTGAATAATAAGCTATTATTTATCCATTGAATTGAAACCCAGGCCCTGAATGCCCTGGTACGGCCGAGAGTGGGGAGAGTCAACTATCCCTCTCAAAATGCTCTCACGTGGCCACGCGTATATAGCCTCTGCCAGGGAAGTCCTACTCACTGCCTTCTCGTGGCGGGGATGTTGTTTACGAAATTGAGAGGACAAAAAGCGAATGTCAAGCGCTTTAACCGGGTTGGTGGACACGGAGAGTGCACCTAAAGGAGTTGGAAATCCCTGATTCCAAACCAATGGTGCACATAGGCTCCAGTTTCCTGAAGGAACAAATGGCGTATGAACCAATCTTTGGTCACCGGCTACCATGGGACCGCATCTCCTGACGTTGCTCCACTGCCTTGTGGATCAGACCTTTAGGTTGAAGGCTCCGGGTGTGGTCACCTAAGAAAACCACTTGCTTCGATTTGGGCAATAGGGCAGTATCACAGCTCTCACACAAATAGATTGAGATTTATGCGGCACACATGTATCTGGCGCCCTCTTGTACCAGTATTTATGTGTTCAAATAAAACAAATAAAAAAATAAGTATCTGGGTCTGAATTTTCTCCTCACATCCGTTTAGTCTACTGGCTACCATATACAGCTTTCGAATAGCATGTTATTCAAAGATTAATTCAAGAACCTTTATTTAGTTACTGTAATTATTTTCACATTTTCTAATAGTTTAGAGATAAATTATTATAATAATTGCAACTCTTCACCAACAATAATAACCGTAGTCGTATGTTATCTTAAATATATTTTTTTACTTATTTTCTGTTATGGAATGTTTAGATTTAATGAATATGAATTATTAATGAAACGAATTGAAAAAAATATACGCGACAAACGGAAAAAGCCGACATTGTCGTATATTTCTACAACAGTTGCTAATTCGTCTCTTCATCCATCACCGAATCTCCTTTCTCCTTCAGTTCCTTCTCAAGTAACGGTTACAACTTCCGTATCACAACCACCACCAATAACAACACCATTACCCGTTAGTAGTATCATAACTAGTTCAAAAAGTGCAAACAATCTGCTAGATTCTACAAAATCATTTGAACACAACAATGATATGATTACAAATCTGTCTTCTTCCAATCTACCCATCGAAGTATCAACATCTCAAACTGTTTACTTTAATTCTATAGATCAAAATATGGACAAATTTTTAACTGGAATCGATTTAAGTAATAACATTTCAGTTAATTCAAAAACACTAAATAATGTGTTAACAGTCAGTCAATCAGAACTTCTAGTTCACTCCATGAAAAAAGACAGTGAAATGTACAAGTCTATTGAAAACACTTCAAGACTTGATTCTTTTAAGTCTGGTTTTAATTCATTTCATGATAGCATTAACCATGATTCAAGCCAACATACAGAAGATAATTATGTTTCTGATTTGTCTAAGAATTTACCTATCTTGGATCCTTTAAATTTAAAAGGTATTTCTCTGTTTTGTGTTTAATTCTTGATCTGGTGAAAATACATCATATTGACGACCTTAAACGGTTTTGAGACTGATTTCAGGGTTCGTGTCTATTTATGGGTCAATCAGAATGCACGTGATACTGACGAATAAGTCATTGCAGAAAACCGAAAAGGGTTAGGTTTTAGTGTTAGGGTTATCGTAGGAAATTCAGAAATCTTGCAACATTACACACTTCTCAACTCTGTTTACTTTCTTTTAGTTTTTCCGTAAAAAGCCGTGCACTTTGTAAACATTATTTTAATAGTTATTCAAGTTTGTCCGTATTGTTTATTCTTGCCGTGTTTATGCTATTTAAACCTTTTGATAGATAAAAACTAGTAAGTTTACTTGGTTATGAATGATTTACAAGCTATCTGGTATCCCATTTTGAATCTTGGACAAAAATCAAAGAGCTACTATTTTAAATGTGATTGGTTTGTCCGTATGACATACTGTTACCATTGTTTTTGTCTTATATACTGTATAATTCAGCGTTGACTTATAAATACAATATAACAAGCTATTCATCTGTAGATAGATGATGAGAAACTGTTGTTAAAATTATATTATTGGACAGTAATATTTACTGGATAAATAATTATTACGTGTTTTTCCGTACGATTTTTAGTCGTATTCTCATTGCCATGTAACCTACATACTTTTAACATACTCTTGGATGAGAATTATTTTGCTTATAAGGTATTCTTTTGTCTACTGTCGTCAAATTGAAGCTTAATCATACGACTTTTTTATGCTTAATAGTTCGCTTGACTGAAAACAAAGTCCCATGACCTTTAATGCAAATAATTCTGTACACATTATTAAATGTTTGCCATCAGTACACTCTTCTTTTAATTGATAATATTGTATTTAACTTAGCTGAGCGTGCAAATCATCCCTATAATCAACTTTCAGTAATATCAGAAAAACTAATCTTTCTGTGCTAATACCGTTATGTTTCATACTAATCTTAACCTATATGCATATTTCAGCTGTTTACCAACGGCGCGGTCCGGAAATCTTTAATACTGAATCCTCTTCTCAAAATCAATCGAACAAAACTGAATCTTTAACTCATCCTATCCAAAACGAAATCTCAATTACGAATAATTCTTCCTCTTCTGGTGTGCGTCGCTTTATTCATAACTTTTTACCATCAGCTATGGATTTAAAAGTATTTGGAGAACCGGTCCCACCTCACGAACATCCTCAACTGACCATATGTGATGAAAGTTGCATTAACATTTTAAAACGTATTGAAACTACTCTCAATAAATCAAATGAAATCAAAATGAACAGTTGTGATTATAGTCGATTGTCTGAGTCTCTCTGTCAGTTATTGCTTGCACATCCAGATGTTTATGTTAATGATCGAGAATTTACTTCAATTATAGCTTTTGCTTTAACGTAGGTTTTGAATATAACAATATGGTTTACAGTAACTCATATAAACCAGCATTCGTATTTGGAAATCATCTGCACTTGTACTCGAGTTTACACAAGAAGAATAAAGACTGTATTCATAAAATTGTCTTTACATAATCTAACATCTAAATAGCTAGATATGCGTCTACATAAATATATATATATATATATATATATATATATATATATATATATATATATATATATCTTTAATACGTAGTTGAACTCAAGCATGCAACTCTATCGTCATAAAAGATTCTATAATTATCGAGGAACTTTTGGAGATTTTAGAATTTTTATAGTTTTATTCACCAACTGATCTTAGTTAAACCACCATTGAGAGCCTGGACGGACTGGAAGGCTGTTTCGTTCTAATGTGGGACTTATGGGTGATCATTCTGGACCTTCAGTAGTGCATGCGACCGCTTAACCTTTAGACCTTTGAGTCAGGATCTAACTTCAATCAGTTCATGATTTTACTCAGCTTCTATGCATTGTCTGCGGTGGATAACCATCTCTTTCTAAGTTATTGGCGGTGTACTACTTTATATCCTCAGATTACAACTTCATTTTCTCTGTAAGGAGTGGAGTGGTACTACGAGAGTGCTTGGACTAAACTGTGAAGGACTAAGTTTTCAGACGTCAACGTAGTATTTGCGAATCATTACGTTACGGCTTCAGTGTCCTCTCATCTTAAATTAATTTCATCAGTTATGTTGCAGTTTGCATTTTATTAACAGTTTTAAGTTATCACCATATCTTATGTACAAATCAGTATTCTTGATATATTGAATGACGTTATTCTATTATACCCGTATTCATTTAATATAAATTAACTACGTAATGTATAATATCCATAACCAAGGAAAAATGAGTACTTATTTTATTAATTCCTTTTTTCTAAATGTTTATTTTTAATTTTCATATATTATTAGTACACGAGAATACGAAAGAAAGTTAGTGGATTTACATTTTACCCTTCAAGGCTCACTGCAGCACAGTTCTGATATTCAGCTAGGTCAACCTGCTCTTTCTAAGTACGTTTAATGGTCTATTTTTCAAAAAGATTCTTGTTCAAGCTTCCAAAACAATTTCTTTCATACTAACTAGAAATTTTTAATGACAATCCCAGTTCTATAAATAGTAATAATTTATGTATAAGTTTACGAAACCCCATGTATCACGGGTAGATTTATGTACGCAAATTTAAAACAGCATTGTTTGTATGATACTACCACCTTTGACCTAACCACTCCTATGAATCCGGTGTTCATCTTGCTGTGCTAATGAGGTATGGCAACCTGGACCGATGCATATATGTGCCTGGTCCTACGTTGTAGCTGACTGACTGACTGAGATTCAATCAGGACTGAAGGTTATAGAAATTCATAGTGGTTGCCATTTGGCGACAAATTAGCATATTTATGTTATGTTAATGAACTGTTAAATAAATCATGGTCCTATACTATAAATGACAGAGAAATTCCGCATCCTTTGTGAATATGCAACTTCACCTTTGGACTTTTGATTTTAGGACATATTCTGTTTAATTTTAGATCGAAAACGACTGATACTACCTAATATGAATGTAATTACTTTGTCAAGAGATGTTAGAAAAATGAGTGACATTTTAAACATCAAAAAGTCGGTCGATAAACATTAAAGTCATGAACGATGAACACATAACTATACAGGAAATCAATATTTTCTTTGGTATAATTGGGGGGGCACGACATTGAAAAGCTAAGTGTGAGAACTTGTTCATCTGTATGGGTCTTTTTGTAAATTTATTAAATCTGCGTTCATTTATTCGCATAATTACACTAGCACGTTTTTGTTGTTTCTTTTTTCAGTTTTAAGGATAATGAGTCAGCTGTTACAACCGAGAATATATTTGGTGCAAAATGTATTGGTGAAAAAGAAAGACTAAACATTCTGTATGATGACACTTCCCTATCGAATCCAACTGATGATGGTTCTTCCAAAAAGTCAGAAACATCACAAGGTAAATCAAATGTGCCAGTATTTAAATTCTTATGTCCCCTATTGAAAAGATTAATATTTTCTCATTTCTACTATTATTACACATCACTTGCTATTTAGTAAAGCTAAACTCAAGGATGAAGATATCTGTGTATTCATATTGGTCTCATATCGATTACGAGTTTACACTCAAAGAAAACCAATGAATATACGTGTTTAAAACGATTTTACAGCAAAGAGAAATAATGCATCTAAATGACTCCCTTGAACAAAAGCTGATGTAATCAGTTTAAAATGAAATTTACAGAATTTCGATTATTTTTCCAGACTTTCGACAATCAATTTTCCAAATGCACATTCTTTTAGATAAGTTATATCATGAAGTATGGAAATTTGACAGATTCTTCACAGCTCTTCAGTAAGTCTGATTGAATAAAACTCAATCCATAGATTGATAAACATTATTTGGTGTAAGTTAAACACGTTACCAATATGGACTATTATTAAGACAATAAAATTGTAAATAACATTAGCACAGAAATAGTAAGAATAGAAGTTTTATCTATTTCTTTCGAATACTTTGCGTTATTTTGCTTCACTCGATAGGTAAAATTACCACAAATTATCTATTATATAATTTTTTCTTTTAATTAAGAAGAATGTAATAGAATACCATCTTCACCAAATGTAAGTGAATTGCGTGATCAAAAACCGCCTACACATACTCATAATATATCTGCCAGTTCTCATACTACTTCATTATCAACATCTACAACTGACAAATCCAATGGGTCTCGAAGTCGTCATATTAAAATACGTAAGTTGTTTTATAAGTTTTGGAAGTAATGCAAATAAATTATTGAATATTTAAAAAAATGAGTGAAGAATATTCTCTCTATTATATCTAGAACTTGGATGTTTTGCTATACTGTATACAACTTGAGCCGTCTCCACACTTTCCAATTAATTCTCCCTTGGTTTTCTAGTCATACCTGGGTATTGATTATTGGAAAGAATCACCAAGTTCATGTTGAGTACATAATTTTAAATTATACATGATAGTTTCTAAGATCGTAATTATGATAAAAGATAATTAATTAAGCAATCCATTATTTAATTGAAGAGAAGAATTAGAAATAACGCAGCGAAAAACATTTTCTTCTCAACCATACCATTTAATAAATCTACAATCGTATAGTGATTTCACAAATATATTAGTTTATAGAAGAAAAGAAAGAGATTGCACCACAAAATGTTCGGAAATTGCAAGTTTCACAAGGAGGTTGCGTAATGACCAAGAGACTATAGAAGAATGGGAGGATATAAATAATTTACGGATCAGAAATGTTAGACAATTTTTCTCCTTAACAGATATGAAGCAATGAAAAACGTGAAACTACCAATAATAGCTGAATAATAATTCTAAAAATCGGAATAGGTTAATATTAGCTGACTTCTGATCAAAAGGCAGACTCTGAAGGGAGTTCGAGCTATGGGAGAATGGGAGACTGCAAAGTATCAAGTACAAACGTATTGAAACTGGTTGATCTAATAATTCAAACATCATTAAATGCCCTAGTACGCCGAGCATGCTCGCATAGCCTCGCGTATACGGCTACTGCCAGGAAAGTCATACTGCCTTCTCGCCGCGGCGGAGTGTTTACGAAATTGAGAGGACGTAAAGCGATTGTCGCGCTACTTATCTGGACTCTGACCAACCATTGTTTGCACTTATCTTATTTTACGTTTCAACGACCAACAAACTCATCGTCCTAAACGAGTCGATGTCAGCTAATCGGTTTCGGCTGTTGTTGCTACTAAATATCAAAGCGAGCTAGGTTCATGGCTAGCTACCATCCCACCGAAAGTTATATATAAGCATTGGTTGCAATTACATGACGTCATGAAAGTGGCGAGTAAAGTCACTTGTGGCTTCGCGAAAAGTATCTCTTACAAGTAGTGGGTTTCTACAGGCTTACAACTCATATGTCTACTATGATTAATTGCGATTTTAACAATAAACGAAGATTGTCACGTAATGAAATTGTGCAAAGTCTGCGTAAGGACCGAGAAGCCTGTTGATCGTGGCGTGCTAAGGAGTTGGAAACAGTAGCTGCTTCTGACACCTACAGGAGGCTTTATCAACTCATTTGAGTCACTGGCAGCAAGAAGTCGTGTGAGCGAAACGATATGTGAAGCTGATGTGATGCCAACCAATGATATCTACCGACGTCTTGGACGATGGGTAGAGTTTTTCAAGTAACAGTTCAACTGGTTTGTTGCTTTGGTGACATCGATCAAACTATCCCGTCGTCTATGGACTGTGATGACTAACCCACCTAACGAGGTAGAAGTTTGCAAGGAACTTCAAATCCAGCAGCTCTGCAAATCGCCAGGCCTAGATGACCTATCTCCGATCTTTATCAAAGACGGTGGCGACCTTCCGGTTAAGGTAATCACTTAGTTGTTTTTAGGCTTCTAGCAGTTAGATAGTGTTCCAACGTCGTGGAATGAGCCTATAGCTGTCCTTATCCTGAAAAATGCGATAACTATTGAAGGATAATTCTGTTTCTGGTTGCATCCAAATTATTATCTTCAGTCATGCTTTGCAGATTGCCCAAGACCAGGAAAGAATTTACGTGAGGGAGGTTGGTTTACGTTCTGATCGGGGATGTGTTTATCATATCTTCACCCTCGGTCAAATGTTAGAACCCTATTCCTACCCTAGTCATCTCTTACTCCGTTGTCCCAAAATACACGAGCAATGTTTCGAAGACATCCGTGACCGAATACTAGTAACTTACGAATATCCTCTATTCTTAATTGCCATGCTCCACATCCATAAGGTGAAACGAAGCGAACTGTTGCGCAGTAAACTCATCCTTTCGTTGGAAGACGGATTTCCCACCTGTGCCACATGTGAAGCAAGTTGGCAAAGCTAGTCAAACCTTCTGAATTCGTGATGAGGTTTCCTCAGACACGAGACCATCAGAGCTGATCCAGTCATTAATCCAGGCGATGACGCCAGCCAATCCTGAAGTAAAGTTTTACTTTTTGAGAGATAATCACATCCAAAAAATGCTTGCATTGTCGCTTAAAATGATCAGAAGACTGAATTTTATAAGCATATTCATCAAACAGAACTATATCATCTGCGTATTCTAAGTCGACAAATGAATCTCTCGATAGAAGATCAGTCCCTGAAAAGTCATACGAGGAAAGTGTTATTGCTAATGCATATCTATGACAAAGTTATATAGAAATGGAGAAAACTGACAGCCTTGAGGGACACCATTTGAAGTGACTGATTCTGAAGACGGTTTGCCATAATCTCTGACTCGAACATAAGTTTTCGAGTAGAGAGGCTGTACAATGTTAGTATACTACTTCTGTACACCTTTCAGTGACAGACTGCCACAAAACCCTACGATCAACGGAGTCGAACGCTGCCGTAATGTCAGGGAATACAACCATAATTAAACGTTGATAGTATGTCGACGTCCGAGAATCTACTGAAAGACGAATATTTAGTTTATACATCCACGTCCAAGTTCGATACTAGCCTGGTTTTCTCGGATTTGCTCTTCACCAGCTTCAGCTAGACGTCAAAATATTTTTGAGGTTAACATTTTAGGTGATTGTCACAAGAGGATTTTTGTTGTTTCTTATAAACTGAGACGATCAGCTATCGAGACTAATCAGATGGGATGACGTCCGGTTCCTAGATTTTAGCTAATATCTCAGTTTATCTAATTTCTAAGACTGGACCATCATTCCTAAAAATCTCAGCATGGTAGTTCTGTTTTATCTACTCAACGAGTATAAAACTTATTTCTCTTGGCAGGGAATCGCACTTTTTTATTGTTATTATTATTGTCGTCTGAATTTAACCATTTACTCTTAGCATGCATAAGAAATTAAATATAGCTTTTGTTCTCAAATTCTAATTCTTCATTCTTCTGTTTATTATCATGATTATTATTGTCCCTCCTCCACAGAGTTTTCGGATAGTTCAACTACTTTCTTCTGTTGTGTGTACTATGCCTCTGAATTTTTCCGTTTACGTCAACTTATAATGCCTAATGGAGATCTGTCGTAAGAGATATCATGTTTATTTACTGTCGTTTTATATTTTATTATTATTATTACTATTTTAATTCTTCATATATTCAAACTGTTCAGTTAAAGGTATATAAATATAATTATCAAATGTAAATAAAATGAAGTAAATATGTGTTTAGCTTGCAATTATTTCAAACATATTAATTCATAGAGTTTCTTTTTTGTTCATATTCTTTATGTGCACGTTATCATCACATTTATAGATGGATTCCGTAATAATCGAGTAAACACTGGGGTGTCATAGGCCGACAAATAATTTACCCTTTTATTTAATCTTGTTAAATAAGTAGTGGAAAAGAAAACAGCTAATTATTAATCATTACAGTTATTAGTTTTTAATCAAAATAGCATCTTGTTTTGTGATATCGAGTCAGTTACACAAGTGCCCAGTTTCCAGTTTGATTGATAAAATCTGATCAACACTAAAGTAATAGATGCATGACACTGGTCATTACTCAGTGGATGGTCAGCCGTAAATATCTCAATCCAACAGTGAATAAGACTCTGTCTAAATAACTCAGTAATAGTATCTTAGACTGTGAAAACGAATGATGCAGTTTCAAGTCTCAGACTGAATATCATTCCCGTTAAGATTACACGTACGTTTTGCTGACAAGTGCCACTTGGTGTGAAACCTAGATCTGTGGTTCCCCGCGGACTACTTCCTAAAATCTAACGAATGTTGTCTTAGATGCTTTAGAAAATGTTTTTAGTCGTGCTTTATGTCCATTTTGGGTCGTTTTCGATTGCTATTTATACGTTTAATACAGACAAATATCCTGTTAATGATGTATTTTTATTATCTCGAATGAATTCGTTGTCATACTCTGATTAATTTCTTTATTTCATACAGCTGACGATACAAAACAAGTAAAAATTAATTATTTTGAAAAGTAATGAAAATCATGAGTACCTCTGTTGTGATTCGGACCAAAACCGTTAGACAAATCTTAAAAACATTTTTCTAATTAATATGACCTAATATTCACTTCGTTTTTACAGCGCTTATCCAAAGATGGCATCTGAATATATCGCTTTTTTGACTAAGCGAATAGATTATATCGAACGTCTTTTCTCAAGTTCGAGAATAATTAATCTCACGTTTTACATTGCATTACTGAAAATTAACTCGTCAGAGAAATATATTTTACATAAACAGTACATTCAAATAATGGATTCCTTTCAGTCAACTGCTAGTTATCATGTCTTCCATCCGAAGTCTTATTTATATTACAGTCGTATATTTTTGGACTTTTTTATGGTGATTGCTAAATAAATTGATAATGAAACTTCTTTCCTTTTTTGATAGTTTCATACATTCTTTATCACGATGCTATCAATGGGATGCACGTGGTGGTAAATCAGGTTCCTTATTCATGAAAACTCGAGGTATGTTTTGACACATGTGTTAGGTAATTGTCATGTTATATTTTTATTTACAATAGAATTCATAATTTGAATAATACTATAGACAGTACGTATTTTGTCCATTTTCGATGTGGGTAGCTTAAATATGTACATTAGTATTTGAATTCCCGAATGTTGATTTGTCCATCCACTTCTCTCTTTGATGTCTTACTCTTTTTATCATGCTTTTAAATTTAGATAAGATTATGCACTAACATGTATAGCGATATTGTCAGTTCATAATGTTACCGTCTGTTAGTATAAGATATTCAAAGGGGTGTATACTGGGCTCAAACAGATGGTAAAAACCAATAACTGAAAACTGTTCGACGTTTTATTTTTAAGGACAGTAATCCAAGTGCATTCAATCTTTATGCATCTTTATATATATATATATATATATATATATATATATATATATATATATATATATATAATCTGACCAAGTTGCCACGTTTACTTTTGGACCAATATACTATTATGCATACATTTGACGGTATACGAGTATATTTTCTACGTTAGTCATATATATGGCGATATAATTGGACATTTTTTTAATTACTTGGTAATTCACAGATGAACGATTTGTAATTAAAGAACTATCTTCAATTGAAATGAAAACATTTCATGAAATCTCTCAGGATTATTTCGATTATCTGATTACTGCAGCGCTTGAACAAGTAAGATGCTACATATTTCATAGAATATATTTTATTAAATTTTATTTAATCACTTAATGTGTTGACTGTTTCATTTTCCATTAACTAATACTTCACATATAATGCAAAGTTTATATACGTACCTAATATGTATTCGTGAAATATATATCTTAATTTCGACCTATTTAGTTATATTTGTAGATTATTTAGTTAAAACGTTTAAAAATTATAAGAAACACCAATCATAATTTACCGTTCTTGTCATTTTAAATGTCTTTATTGGGCTAAAAATAAATCAAAACTTCGTCAGATGAATCCTGCTAATGAGTCCCGAAATGGGACGAAACTTGGGTCCTAGATTTTGCTGTTGGCTAACATCCATCTCTGCTTACAACAGCTAGCTTGGTTTATCACATACAGTTCCATTCAGCCGATTTATAGCTACACCTCATGTTTATGGAGAGGGAAGTGGTTACTTATACTATGTAGCGCTTTGGTTGTAATGGACAGAGTGGAAAACATACATTTAATCCGGTGTTTGAACTCAAAATTGTTGCTGGTTACAGTTTCTATTATCGTATTCTATTTTGTTATCATGCGGCTTTAGATATAAAGATGAAGATAAATTATCTACTGTTTTGCCACTTGATACCATCTACCATAAAACGATGCAACCAGTGATCGATATTCTATTACCATTAGATTAGATAGTCGATCGATATGTCATACACAGACCGAATTACCTTAAACTAGATTCACAATTCCCGACTAAAAATACCAAACCAGAGCATGGGTTAGATAATGCTGTATTCAACACAATTACCAGTAGTCTGCGCTCAGTGAGTCCAAAGTAAAAATTAATAATAATAATAATAATAATAATAATAATAATAATAATAAGGAAATAATGTGCATAATAGACAGTAGACTGAAAGTTTGTTAGTACACGCTTAGTGGCCAATCACATTTCCTTTCAATAGCCACACATCAGTTTTGTAAAGTTTGACTTATTTTACTGAACAACATTCGCGTGCCAGACCGAAGGTCCTGGATTTGAGTTTCGCGTGCGGAATCGTGGATACGCACTGCCGGTGAGTTACTTACTAAGACGAAACGGCCGTCCGGCGCTTCTAGCTTTTCAATGGTGGTCTAACATTGATCAGTTCTTCATCGTAATTAAAACTCAACAATCTCCACAACCCTATACTAGTTATTGAACAGCATTCATTTTTACACTCGTTTCATCCACATCAACGTAAATGTTCATTTGTGGTGATTTTTTTTTACTTTAATAAATTGACTTTGTTTCAATAGTTCCTTACTTTATAACTTATTTTATTGTGATTTATGTTACAATTATGTTAAAACTATTTATCCAATTAATTATACTTGTTTTAAAAAATTCTTTTACAGCGTCTTTGTGTTTTATCAAGAATACTAGGCATTTTTCATGTTGGATTTAAAAATTCTGCATCAGGTGAAGCCCATCGATTCGATGTACTTGTAATGGAAAATTTATATTATGGACGTACTCAACTGGCATATATTTATGACTTGAAAGGCTCACTACGTAAACGACTGGTAGATGAATCCTTCAATAATATCAACAATAATGGAGTTAATGCAAACTCTAATACTATGCCTACAGACCTAGCACAAACAACTGATGAAAGTACAACTAATTCCGGTGTTGCATCGTACCACTCGTTTACATGCAATCAGTCAACAACAGTATCAGATAGTGGTTTGACTTCAGAGACAACTAGAGTTAAACATAATGTACCGGTTCTTCTGGATCAGAATTTACTAAATGCTTCAATAGATAATCCGTTGTATTTAAGAGTTCATTCAAAGGTTAGTCTCTTTTATTAAACACCATTCATTAAACAAAAATGATCGAGTGTTTTTTGGTAGGAAAATACTATAATTTTTTAAAGCACTCGATACAGCGCTTTATTGTTTTAGTCCAAACTATATAATGTTGATTTATGTCATCCATCATAAAGTTTTCTTCTTTTTGTCCATCTACTGAAACCCTCTATATACATAGATCTTTGATTAAAACCAAAAATTACACGTTCTCTTTGTGGAAATTCATCTGCGTTAATTAACAGCATAATGTTTAAATAAATATCCCAGCTAAATAACCATAGCAACCTATGAGTTTGAAGTTAAGTTATAAAAAGCCAGACAATTGGCACCCTCCCACATTTTAGAAGAATAATTTTCCTTGAAATATATTTTTTTATAACCACTGATACGTTTCATTATTATACTTTTTGTATTTTGATACTAAGTGGAACACTATATGGATGCGAATTTAATTGAGGTCTTACATTTTTCTGACTGATGTATGAGGTAGTTCATGCTTTTTATGAGATAGAATTTGTTGTAACACATTCAATGCTTATCCTACTTTTATTTCTGGGAACAAAAATCTACCTGCTCGATAAAAAGAGCGGTAGATATATACTCTGAGCTGTTTGAATTCAATCATGCATTGAATAGTTGGGGGTAGTGTACAAGTAATCATGAACGTAGGTTCCACACTATTTGACACTCATCAGCAGGGTGTTCCTGTAATCTTAACAGAAATAATGCTATCTGAGGAATGCAATAAAATTGATTAATCTTTTTATATTAGTGAATAGTTTTCATTGATGATTGTTTGATTTTAACACTGCTCGAACCTTTTTACACTAATAAACCAGACAATTTTTAGTTACTTGAAGACTGTTTACCAATGACGTTGGTTTATTGATTTAATTTTAGACGATCGACACTCCTATAGTCTTGAACCTCGGACAAGTATGAAGGTATTTAAATAGTGGAAATTAGTTTAAGTATATAAAGTTATGTCTACAGTTCGACTATTAAAAGTCTGTGCAATTTAACCAAAGTTTCGGTTAACTAGAAAGTATTTTGTGTACCCGTGGATTTTGTTTTAGAGGTATCAGAGATAATTATTTCCATATCATTTCGTTTTTGTTTCATGTTTTCATTATCTCTGCTGTAAACGTAAACGTACAGAAAATTATCTAAGTGCATTTCAGTGTACTTGGTTTTGACTGCTTTTCATACTTACCACCGACTTCCTCAAACTCAAGCAGATGGATTGGATTTGTAGTCTATACATTATCCTACATATATTATGCATTTCTGTTTATGAGTGTACTCTTCTTTCTTACATCTCTCACTGCTTTTGCTATGAAAATGGAACTTATGAACTTTGTTTCTCAGGTATCACTGTTATTGCTATCAGTTATATAAGCTTTAGACTTTCTACGTTCCATTGCTATGAACTCTATGGTCAGCTGTACACCACCACGGATCAGTTTTATACGTTTGTATTTTGTTTTGCCATTTAGCAAATAATTTTCACTAACCAGGACATTTTTGCATTCATATACAAAAGTTTAGATTATTCTCATTTACTATATATCTGATTTGATCTGTTTAGTGTAGAAAGATAGTTTTGTATATCTGTTTAACAGCAGTAGCACGTTTTAACTTGTTATCGTGTGTGTGTGTGTGCATTTAAAGATTTATTCCCTTGTTCTCTTATCTGTTTACTTAATTTTCAGAATGCTCTTTCACATTGTCTAAATATGGATACTGCATTTTTAGCGAATCTATTTATTATGGATTATTCTCTATTAGTTGGTGTTGATACAACAACTAATCAACTTATTATTGGTCTAATTGATTATCTACGTAAATTTACACTAGATAAACGTTTAGAAATGATTATTAAACAAACAATAACTAGTGCACAAGGTCCAATGCCAACTATATTAACACCAGATTTATATCGTGAACGTTTTCTTTATCAATTGCATAGTTATTTTCCATTATTACCGGATCAATGGTATGATAGTTTAGCTGAACATACTGAAAATTGGCGTGTGTCATCAGTTCAACGTAAATCACTATCAGTGAATAAGACAAAGTGAATATTTAATTTTTTTTTTCATATTTACACCAAAAACTGTGATTAGTAAATAATAAATGAATACCATACATACATAAGATTAACTTACTCTTACTATTATTATTATGACTATTTAATCCCTATTTTCTATCTCGATGATTATAATCATATATTATCATTGAAGTAAACACAGTTGATAATGATTTCTTTGAATTGTAATTTCTTGTCTTATTTTTAGCATTTTTCATTCAGTTGACAATTTGTCTTTTATATTATAATCGTCTTATTTATTTTTTGGAGAATACACTTTCAAAATTGAATACAATTTTTCTGATTGTTACTGACTATGTTTGTGATTCGTTCCACTATTACTGCAAATGCAAGATATTTCTTTAGGACTGGTCTAAGTCAATGCTTTAACAAATTACAGGGAGTGAATTAGCTGAGTGTATCAGCCACTTCAATTATCTCTGAAGTTCTATCAATCGTGGTGGGTTGGTGTTTGACGAAATTGTAGGATGATTTCGGTTGACCCTTACCAACTTGTTTATCAGGTAAATCATCAGTCGATGAATTACTGAATCTTCATCGACATTTGTTGTACCAGTGGAAACCTGGGCTTCATATAGCATTTAGTGTATCAGAAACTAAATGATCTTTTACATGAAGCATTTTTCCTAAAACTTAAATATTTCCTTGATAGTATAGTGGCATTTACGCTTGTCATGCGGAAGGTCCGGGTTTGATTTCCGGTAGAAGAGTCGGTTTGTACAACCGGACAGTATCATAGCCCACACACAAATCAAGTGACTTGTGTGGCGCATATTTATTTGGTGCCCCTTTTTACCAATATTTATATGTTCAAATAAATAAATAATCTGAACATTTTTTAGGTACCACTTTCATACCTGACTTTAGTGTATTTAAATCATTAAGGTTTATATATGCATGTTTGCACATATTTGTTCACCTGTTCTTGTAATGCATGGTACGTATGTCATTCATCAAGGAAATTCTCTCAACTTTTAAAAGAGCACATTGTTCAGTAAAATAAAACTCAGAACTACAAATTTTTTTGTTCTGGAACATGTGACTGACCATAACATCATAGCATCTCAATCATTATCCTTTTTTTCACTAAAATTCAATTCTCATCACTATTATGATTAAGTTACTACTCTTAACCGAATATCGTTGTCCTTTATAATAACCTCCATTTACCTACATCAAAATTCACATCGTTATCTCTTATTTTGTAGTTGTGTCTTAGAACTTTCGTTTCATACATCTACTTTGTTTTCAAGACATTAACGAACCATTTATTTATTTTGCATTATTATTATTAAATGCATTCTACACATTCAAATAATCATATATATCTTCATGAATAAGTAAAACCTTAAAAAGAAGAATATATTTGTCTCAAATTAACTCGGCGCCCAAATATTGTGAAACTATTCGTTCAAATTTAGACGAAAGTTCTTATTTATAAGTAAAACCTGTTCATTAGATTAACTTATATCACATGGATAAAATCGTACAACCTTTAGGAAAGAAGCTGTCGAAATGTAAGTTTTCTTCAGTGAAACATAAATTATTTCTACACTTCTTCAATCAAATTGAAACAAAACTATTCATAAATAATGAATAAAGTCGTGTATTCAATGTGACAATCATTGTTTTTTCCTCATGACAATTAATCATTGTGAATAAGACGTTACCCAGTAAGCAAGAGGATTGCCCCAACCAACTTCCATTTGAAGGGTATGTATTTCATTCAACAATTCTGTATCATTTAATTTCATCTAAAATGAAAGTTTAATATTACTATTGAATTTGGGATCAGGGAAAATGTTTTCACAAGTGAATTGATAAAATCTACTGTTATTTTCTTTTTTGCTTCACTTACGGTTAACCTTAATTGCACGACCATTTTTAAAAAATTTTCGAGTGAGCTTTTTTTCTACCCCTTTTGAAAAGATTTTTCATACCCATCTTCCAACAACTTTCATTCTGTTTCGTTCAAATAGCTAGTTTTAAATTCGTTGTAATTGGTCGTTTATTTCTTAAAATTGATATAAAATGTCAGCACTTGACGACAGAGCATTTTTTTTCAATTATGGACGGTAGTGACGTGCAAAGCACAAGCTCTGTCGTTTCTCACGCTGTCACAGGAACCGATAACCTATTTTTGAGCACATTGTATCTCGTAGCGTTCCAATCTCTTGAAGCGTTGAAGAGTGCCGTTAGAACTTATAAAAGGGCTACGTACTGCCATTATGCAGTGAGAGATTCTCATTTCCATTGAGATCGGAAGCCGTATATTAAATTCGTATGTTGGAGAAATGGCCATAGAACACCTAGCGGTTCATCACAGCCGAGTAGACGAAGGAGGTAATTTGATCAGTGTTATTATAATTTTTCATAAAGGACTTGTGTGAACACTCAATGTCCTTCCTTCATCTTTTGTAAGTTACCAACGTCGATATGGATCTAACGTTAAGCAGTGACGTGGCAGAAATTGTTTCGATTAACTCACCAAATGTTTTAGCTATAAATAGGACATAGACATATCAACTAAAACGATATTCAACTTGAATGTACTTATATGCTTATAGCGACAATTCCCATTTTTACATTTGGTAAGTAAAAAAGAAACGAACCGAGAGAAAAAATTTCTTTTCAATTAGTTTTCATCATGGCGTGCAATTCGGCAAGTTCGTCATCGTATAACAGAGCACCATCCGTCGTGGTTGAACAAAGTACAGGTAAGAGTGATTGAGAGTCCTATTCTCGCTCACTTGGTTGACACAGGTCATCAAACTTACCATATGGTTTACTAGTGCGCCTTCCGCACATTGCTGAAGTCATCGCAATCCATGTTCACAAACCTAACCTTTGCATCCAAAAGACGTTTGTACAACCACTTTTGCTACCTTGGCCATCGGTATAGGGGCGTCTGTAACAGGACATTGATAAACTATTTTCGCACTTCTTCCATTTTGTTTTTTGAACTCTGTATTTTGCTTTTTCTCAACATTCATCTGTTGATTCTTACAAAGCTACTATTCTACTGACCATTCATCAAAATATTCTGTTCCTTCTCTTTCCCATATATTATGTAACGTAGAAACTTCTTGATTTTCGAATAATTAATTTGATTATTATTAATCCTTTTTTCCAATTATTCAATGTTAATTTATAATCGAAATGTCATTATGTAATTATTGTGTAACGTGTCTACTCGATGAGTATTATTTCATTATTGTAAATCATATATGTATTAGTGTAGAGCCACGATGAAAATGTAATTGAAAAGAAATTTCTTCGCTCGATTCACTCCTTCTTTATATGTTTGACAATTCTAACCTTCATTAAGATATAAAATGTGTGTGAAGGCAACATATTACTACCGAATAGATAGGGATTTCCTAGCACGGAGTTAGTTCTTTATCTAGCACCACTTCCGAAAAATGGCTACCAGCTTAAGTAGGTTTCTGTTTGACTAAAAATTTGTAAAAATCATGGCTTGTTTCGCTTCAAGTAATTCATGTTGTAGATATTTTCAATCCGGATAATCGAGAAGCATCCTTGTTTTTGTAATCATTAAAGCATCTTAATTACCTCAAACAGTTTGATTCATGAACGAAATACAAGTTTCAAAATGCTAATAGAAATGACAGAACTCTAGACACCTCACAGCCCAATATATTTCAAATGTGTATGTCTGTGGTGAATGTTTGTTTAAATTAATAAGAGTATTAGAATGATGACAAATAAAATAGTTACTAACTTTTATACAATATTTGAAGGATTGTTCGGCTTCTGTACACCGATTTGTTTTTAAGCATATCATAGATAAATAAGCCCAAACTTCTGGGTTCCTATTATTAATATAATTAGCCTCAGTGAGAGCTTCTTCGGCATTTTCTAGTTCTTCTAGCTTCATGCGATATGAAAATGAGAAAAGAAAGCAAAGAAGATTTAGCACCTTAATTTGAATGCAATTAAAAATATAGAAAAGGAAACTAGCACTAATCTATTGAACATTGACATATTGTGACGAAATTATTAATTTTCTAGGTAATTCGTCTGAATTATAAAAGCTACTAAATCTTAACGTAATTAATGACGAGAAGATTGGGAAGATTATTATCAATTTGTATGTATACTTAAGAAACATAGACTTATCTACGAAATCTGGAAAATAATTTAGTCATTTGTGAATTAAATGCAACATATGATTAGCTAGACAGCTATTCCAAGCTTGGATTGTTGGTCAAAACCTTTCATCCTTTATTGTGTTTATGCATGTGTCACTCGTTAACAAATTTCTTAATGGGTTTTTTCAAGTCCTATAGCATTCATTTTTAACAATATTCATTTATAACATAGTGTGTAAAAGATATGTCAGTCGTGTGTGTAAAAGATACACTTCATGCAAATAGCTTCATAACTATCCCAACACTTAGTAATGTCAAAGTAAGCTTCCAATTATTTAGGATATGATTGAGTTTCAATATGTTTTATTGTTTAATGGAAATAAATTACTTTTCGTTTAGTGAAGAAATGTTGATATTGTCATCTGAGAGTAAAAAGTCAATTTATCATCGGCCGTAATAATAACCGTTTAGAATTGTATTCAGAGTTGTCAATTATATATTAAAGTATTGAAATGGATTTCAATGCTCCTAACGGCAAACATCTAACTATCAACGACCAGACTACGAATGAATGATGGTCGCTGGCTGTCAAAAAATTATTGTTATTATAATTTAAATTTATATTGAGATTTGCGTGAAAGAGGACTATACATCAAGAGATATTCATTGATTAAACAATGTTTAAGTTCAAAATCAAATACGAACTTATAAATCCATACGAAGATAACATATATTCGCATTATATAAATATCTACAAAATTCTGATAAAAGTAATTACCACAATTAATCAGAAGTACGAAATGTTCATGGTTAATTGACTTACTCTATAACAAGCTTTACCAACACCTAGCCATGTAGCACAAGTTGGAGAGCTTTTACATGCACGTAAGTAAATATCTTTAGCTTCTTTATACTGGAATGGATTTTAAAAATAAAATAACACTATGAACGTAAATGAATGTTTACAAGTATTTTTAGATAGTTAGTTAATTTTGAACTGATCCCGGTTGCTGTTCGCCCGTAAACCATAAAGTACGGAACTGCAGTTTAGTAGTACTATTTAAACTTGTTAATTTATTTCGGTTATTTATTTACTCTAAAGAACTGGTCTACATTAGGTCACGAAACGTCATAAATACAATTTTCCTACTCATTGGGATATAACAAAATATATATGTATTAGTTTTTTCCTAACTGTCTCTAGGTAATATTGATTATTAAGTTGAAGAATATTTAGGTAGAAAAATGAATTTCTTTTACTCATTCCATCATTCGTTTTTCAGAAGGTACAAACAACAGCATATGTACACAGAAACTTCTTTGTAAGTATAATGAACGGATTTCAAAGAATAATTGAATTTCACAAATCGAAATCATGAGTCAATTGAAGCTAGACCACCATGGAAAACCTGGAAGCACTGGACGACCGTTTCATCCTAGTATGGGACTCCTCAGCAGTGCGCATCCACGATCCCGCACCCCGCGAGATTCGAACCCAGGACCTATCAGTCTCGCGCCAAGCACTTAACCAACTAGACCACTGATAATAATCATTGAATTATCAACTTTTTTCATGAGAAGAACAAGTAAAGCATTCGAATAGATACTTGAAAGTTTCCCTTTAGAAAAAAAGGCATATTTTACGTTTCCAGTCCACATTATAATGTACAAAGAAAGTTATTACAGGAAGAATTAAGGTGTGACTACATGATTATTGCTTCTACGTCAGTTAGCGGTTATTTCACTGAAACAGATAAAAACAATCATTAAATCTTTCATGGTTGTATTAGAAAATAAAGTAATCCTATTTTAAAACGTATAATCTAAAGAATATTGTTAAATATTTATAAATTTTAACAATATGTACAAACCTTCAACTGTTGTAAATAAATCGAACCTAAACGTAACAATAAAATATGTTGATCTTTAGGTGGCCATGTTATTAAACATAAACAACGTTCATAACAAGAACGTGCTGCATTTAAATCTCCAGCAATATAACGTAAATGACCTAAACATGCCCAAGCTTCTACAGCTTCTGGATCAGCTTCAATAATTAAACTAGCATTGAATTCAGCTTCTGATAGATCTTGTTTATATGAATTCATTGATAAACGTGCACAAAGTAAATGATATTCAGATACACGATGAAATAAAATATTTGTTGAAGAAATTCGATTAGTTATTGTAGATAAACCAGCAGTTGAAAAATTTGTTGGATTTTGATTATCACTAGATGATTGTGTTTGTATAGGTGTATGCGTATCAGTTTGTAATTGTAAATTAGGTACTGAATTTGATATTATTGTTTGAGGCTCATAAGTAATTGTTTGATATTCTAATTCTTTCTTCTGTGCTATTAATTCATGAGCCAGAGCCATAGATGCAAACTAAAATAAATATATTTAATTTTTTTAAAAACATTTTAATAAGAAAGCAATTTACTGAATAGATTTAATTGCTACTATTGTTTTATTTATATTTTCTAGGTAGAAAGTTTAGGTCCCAATTATCTGAACCTTAAACTAGTAGAATTAATTCAACAGTAAACCTTGTAGTAGAGTACAATTAAAGGACTTCTTACGTAATGAACAGGGACAAGGTTTTTTTTTACTCAATAGGTTTTGAAGTAAAATTCAATAGTGCTCTATGCGTAACGTGTATCAGATATGGTCAATAAGTATGGAAATATGAACAACCTGTTGCATTAAGGACAACCTTTTAACGAAGTATATACTATTCAGTAAGAAATGTGAATATAATGAAATAATTAATGTCTTGACTAGTATTACAAGCACATAAAATCATTTAACTCATGAAACACCCCCTGTAATGAAAGATATCTAAATGGTACTCAAACTATGACTCACAAAAGTAAGAATCAACATTAAATACGGAAACAAACTGGTCAGTATGTCCGCAATATCAGATTTCTTCATACATCGCTATTTAGATTTTACAGACCAAGGTTTAATATTTCATCCAACATTTACCTGGCATCTATTTTGCTTTATAACAGTCACTTTTTGAATTGAAAGACATCTTGACTCTTGAAATCTTAAAATTGCTTTTATTTAGCTTTTATATTGTGCTTGACATTCTTTCCAATCCACTAAAATAAACTGATCGATATGCACAGATTATTACTGTTTTCACTACTGATTAAAAATAGGAACATCCTGAAGAAAACAACTTGAACTCCTTACATAAATTTTATAACTGAATTAAATTGGAATTTCAACTTAAAATTTTTTTTAAAATCCTAGTGCAATGAAATATGTTTGAACTTACAAATAGTATTGAGTTATTAAAGAAAACGAGTTGAATTGATCTAATAACCTACCGAATACATGTTTTTATCCAAAAGAAATTCAGCTGTTCTAATAAATAAACTCATTCTTGATGGTTTCTCACAGACTGTTGATGGTATCAATGTTGATTCACATTGTATATCAGTTGAAATTTTTGCACCTGATTTTGGAGCTTTAAAAAGACATAAAATTCTACACAGGATTTACTAAATTACAATATAACTAAGAATATATATACTGCTTTGACACTAGATCATTGATATGATTAAGATTATTGTACTATGTTTTATTCATGATTAAAAGAATACTTTTTATTTCAATATCTAGTAGAAATGTGCACTTCTGAAGTGACAAAGTGGTTTAGAGGTTAAATATTCACATACAAGATTTTTAATCCTGGCCTCCATCTACCATAGTGAATTCGTGAATCGGCACTATTGAAAAGTCCTATACTAGGACAAAAGGGCTGTCTAGTGCTTCCTAAGTTTCATTGGTTGTCTAACTAAGATCAATGAGTGATGTGTTTTATGAAAGTATCACAGTTAAATCTTATTTGTTAATTTATACAATCCATTGAATTATTATAGTGAGATCCAAAATATTTACAGTGCTTGACAGAATGTATTGCCGTCAATCAATCATTCTACTGTTAAAATGAAAACACGTAAGAGTTAATCTGTCGAATAATAATTTGATTATTTCAAAATTTATATTCCAACATTGATTTCTACTCTGAATTTTGTTGTATATGGACAACTTGTATTTGTGTTAATAAAATCACTGTTTGGCTTATAACTTTATTCACAATCGTTCACTGTAACTATGTATCACATGAACTAGTGTGACCATTCCATGATCCCCATCTATATATATATATAATAAACAAGAAGTATGTATGAATACTCTTACCTTTAGAATAACGACTTTTTCTTGTTTTAACTTCATTTATTCTATCAACATCATCTTTAATTGCATCACCAATTATAATAGATCGATTACTCTCTTTATCTAATTCATTTAAAGTTATTTTAAAATTATCTACACTTTCTTCTAATATTTCATCATTTGTTGATTCCTTGGATAGTTTATTAATTCGCTCTTTAAGTTCAAAAATAAAACAATTTTTTACTGATAAATTGACATTCTCTTATGGGTTTACATTATTAAAATATAAATAGTTTATATGTTTATCGTATTTATAATAGTCACTACATGATTATATATATGCATATCGATCAGTTTATTTTAGTGGATTGGAAAGAATGTCAAGCACAATATAAAAAGTTAAATAAAAGCAATTTTAAGAATTCAAGAGTCAATATGTCTTTCAGTTCAAAAGGTGACTGTTATAAAACATTGTTGCAAGGAGGCACCAACTATATATGCGCTACTTAATCCATTCGATTTGTGTGAGGGCTGTGATACTGACCTGTTGCCCAAACTGAAGCACATGGTTTTCTTAGGGGGTCACACCTGGAGCTTCTGACCTAAAGGTCTGATCCACAAGGCAGTGTAGCAGATGCAGTCCCATGGCAGCCAGTGACCAACAATAGATTCATACGCCATTTGTTCCTTGGGTAAACTGGAGCTCATGTGCACCATTGGTTTGAAATCAGGGTTTTCCAACTCCCACAGGTGGACTCTCTGTATCCACCAATCCGGTTAAAGCGCTTGACATTCGCATTTCGTCCTCTCATTTCGGAAGCAACACCCCTGTTGCGAGAAGGCAGTGAGTAGGACTTCCCTGGCAGTGGCTGTATACGCCCGGCCATGTGAGAGCATTTTGAGAGGGATAGTTGACTCCCCCACTCTCGGCCGTACCAGGGCATTTGGAGGCAATTAATATCATACAATGCTGTAATTGACTGTTTTACCAAATGAAATAAAAGTTTATGTGAAGAATGTATGGATTTCGCCTTTCGTTAGTCTATTTGTCAATGGTATGAATTTCAAAGTTTGTTCATTGTTTTTTTCCTCTAAAATTTCAATACTTACTATTCAAAGACAGTGATGAAATTGAAATAATCACGGATATTTTAATTTTAAGTGTTCAATTCATTAATTTAAGTTTGATTCCATATACCGATGTCTCTTACAAAACATTCATTTTGTTCTGAATAAATTATCAGCTAGTTTATTAGTATAACAGTACACTACTAAACATGGTGAAATAGTGATTTTGAAAATTTTGTTTTCACCTACGAGTTAAAAACAGAAATCCACGAAGTTAGTTCAATTAGAAATGCATCAATTTCAAAAAGGAAAGTATTAATAGTCTTTTCATCACAATGATTTCTATTTATACAGCTGAAAATTGTGAAAGCAAGTAAAGATTTTAGAAATTCACCTGAACTATTTACTACATTATTGTATGAAAAACACAGTGAACATAGACTCAAGTCACTTAAGCTAAGAGCTACACTACTGCAAAATCGATAGAATCCAATCAGGATTAGGATGTGGGCAAATAGGATATTGGTTATTACTTCTTAAGAACGATGTAACTGTCTCAATCTTGATGTCGATAGTGACCTCAGTAGTTCCATGTCAATATCATGGACTGTGATATGGGGTCGACTACCATTAGTAGCACCAATTATATAGAGATTTCAGGTATACCTTATTGATGAGCTCATACCGGAATGAAATTTTTTTAAACGATTTCTACTTCCAATTATTTCATCTTACCAAAAATAAAATTGTAACCTTACCATCGTTCTGTGAGCCGTCAGATAAAACATTTGATGATTGACGTTGATTTATTAATAAATTATCATTTGATTCACTTTTTGGCGAGCTAACAATTTCTTGTTCATCACCTTCATCTAATCTTCTAGCTTCGTTTAAAGCCATATCTACACCAATGTCGTTGGATATCGTTTCATAAAATAAACCTAATTAGTAAATGAAAAACTCTATTTTATTTTGCTACGCTTATTAGTTGTTGAAATTCATTGTTTATTCTGGTTAATAAAAAAAATGCACTTAGTGCCTGATGTGAGAAGGGTTTTTTGAAAATTATTGCAGTCAATTGCTGCAATAATATGAAAAAATGTTGAGAAGCAACTTTTCACTGTGACTTTAGTTTAACATTATATATATAAAATCCCTCCATCTTTAAGTAATCCTAATATTCCGTTTTATAGGAAAAAACTTTTGGATAATGCCGAAGATAATTCTAGTAATAGAAACATTTTTATTAAATCAATTTTAAGTGTGGGTTTTGTGTAGTTCAACAAGGCCTGTTGTGAGATGGTAGCTCACTGAAGGCAATGGTGGACGGCGGTGCAATATCACGGATTGGTTGAAGTTAGACGTCAACACCGTTGGAAGCCAGCTGAGTGGTTTAGAGATTAAGTGTTCTCCTGAGAGACCGATAGATCCTAGGTGCGAATCCCGCGAGCGGGATCGTGGATGAGCACTGTTGTGGAGTCCTATACTAGGACGAAACGGCCGCCCAGTGCTTCTAGGTTTTCCATAGTGGCCTAGCTTTAATTGACTCATGAATTCAACAATTAAATCAATTGTCCTGATGTGGATGATTAAAAAAATAAATACTTCAGATTTCGTTGTACATTATTTAATTAGCTCCTCAAGAATCCTTTTTAATCTCAGTGAAAGTTTCTCAAAATCATCAACAAACTGATAACTTTATGTCACGTTTTTGTATCAACTTAGTTATGACCAGCTCATTATTTCTGCTATTAATTTGTTAAATAAATCAGCAAGCTTAATCATATTAGGTTCTTGAAAAAAATTGGATTCGCTTTGAATGTAAAATGGTCCTGTTTTCTCGATCATATTAACAAGTAAATAGAATATGGCACAATCATTAAAGTATTGTTCATAATAAACAGATGGAAAGCATTGATATTCGGGAGTTAGCAATCCATAACATCATTGTGAATGCGAAATGGATTCAACTGATAAACATTTGAATAATTAACATTATTATCTAAAATATAAAGCAAAATTATTTCAAAACAATTTAGTATCATATTTTGAATGTCTTCTATTCTCATTTTAAAAATTCACCTAGCCGTGACTGCTTCATGCCTGAACTTTACCTGAATAATTAAAAGATGATATTTTGACTAACAGAATTTGAATCTTTAAGTAAAGAGATCAACCAAGGTTGTATTTATGAAATGTGTCACAATCTTTAGGACTATTTTTCTGAATATGAAGCATAATAGGGAGACTAAAGTCCGATTCACAGTCTATCTATAATTAACTAAGAAATACAAACGTCACTGTCTAAACTATGCATGTATTAACGAACTATTGACTAATTATGCACAGAATCGATATACATTTACTCTTACAGGCTTACCAAGTATGACCCATAGAACAGGATTTTTAGGATCGTGAGACACTGCAGCTTCTAAAAAGTCAGTAGCTTCTTCATTAAAATTTTGCATGGCGGATACAAGACCAAATAAAACTAATCTGTTAAGGTAAAGTAAAATAGATTAAATGGAGTTACTTTTAGTTCAAGATCATTATTTGATTATAAATGATTGTATTCTAAACAAAACTCGATATTTTATCCTTCATTTAAGAGTATATCTTATTAAAATGAAATTTATACATAGAAAGTTATGCATGTTGAATAACTTAATGTTATCAAAGGTGTAGCAAATGAACTATGGTGAAATATAACTATAGGTGAGGTCCATTTCTATTTAAAAGTGTTTAGAAATGCTGAAATGGAGATTAGCATAAAGCACATTACTTATATTCAAAACAACCGAATGTATGATATCCATCTGCGTTGCAGTACATAAATTATTTGGAAATGAGACTTATGATCATGGTAACTTCCAACAAAACTTTTTAAGTAAGCGATTTGAACCCACTTTGTAGTCATGGTTTTTAAATTTTTAAGGTTGCAAGCAGCTGATATAAACAGAAGGCAACAACATAAATTCATTCTATTCTCACTTACTATCTGTGTTTATTCACTAAGTAAACATATGTTTTTAGACCTTAGGATAAGATATAATTTGATGACAACAACATTTGTAGTACAAGTGAACACTCTGATATTATAAGCGTAATAGTTTTTCCCTTTGACTATTAAATTTGAACCTAATGTATTCATCACAGATCACTTCAGAAAAGTTAAAGTAAACTGACCGTTTTACATCTGTTCATGGTTTTATATTTACTTAACCAAACTAGTTATACTACTCGTGAATGTCGTTCATTCAGTAATAAAATATATGAAAATTGAGGAAGCTTCTCTAACCTGTTTTATAAAACTTAATAGAACATTGCACAATAAAGAAGGGCAAACGTTAGAACACTTTTAAATGGCCTATGGAGACATATCATCCTTAAGTAATTTATATAAATGGAGAATAATGAAAATTTATGATTCAGTAAAATAAGTAAAAATGGCTTAAATTAACTTGCCCAGTGCTTTGTTTAGGATCTATGGTTAAAGAACGGTGGAAACATGTTGCAGCTTGTTCTAAGTCATTTCGTCCCAAATAATAAACACCGAAGTCGAGCCAATAGGCTGATGAGCTAGGATTTCTTGCAATTCTTTCCTAAACGAAGTAAAATAATTATATTGGGGGATATCTATTTAACGGACAAGAGTACCCCATAAGTCGACAAAAGATTTCTGTGTAAAAGTGTTTAGTACAAGTAACCATTTGTTAATATTACTTATGAATTAGTAAAGTCTATATGCTTTGTCATCATCAGTATCACGCAAGGACTTCTAAAAAGTATAAATAAACTTATCTGAAAATGTCAGAGACAAAAAGGCTAAATCAGTAATACGAATAATTGTGCTAACGTAATTTACCAACTTACTCGATAATATTTAACTGCCCAGTCATACATCTGATTTTGTTCAGCCTCACGAGCATAGCGTAATAAAGTTTCTGGATCAAAGAAACTCAGTTCTGGAATCTTCGTAAAATCTCTTGTGCAAAATACTTTCTTTAAACCAATGTGCATTTCGTCCACAAGATAGACAAAGAGATCCCTCAGAAAAAGCTTAAATTATAAAAGGGAGTGAAAAGCCGTAAGCATTGGTAATTGGTTTTCGGGTAATTAGATTGTAGATTAAAAGTATTATTTTTTTCCTTAAAACCGTTAATCCCTTCCAAAAATTCAGACGGTATAAATAAAAGATGGAGTCAATGTGATGATATGAATAAACCATTCAATCGAGTGTAGTGAAAAATATAGATAATTAGCTTCAGAACAAGTTACCATTAGTAACGATAAATGCAGGGAGTAGAAAACATTTTGCTTATGTTACCTTCAGAACATGCGTACCCAACTATGAAACTTTTTTTCTAATTATCATGGTTATTATACTTAGATCAATCGTAGCTGAACAATGAAAGTTGTCGGCGACTCTAACGCCCAATATTTGTTCCATATAGCTATACTGTCTGCATTATTATTCTGGATAATTAAAATATTAGTTTGGTTAGTAAGATGATCATGGAACTCTATATAATCTGTTTAATATGATAAATAATTATTTTATTTTTGATTTAGTACAATACAGAATACTATCATTTTCCTTTCAATGAAGTTTAGGGTTATCAGTATATGTAAATTATTAATGAAATCTCGATTATATACATCTACATCAATTAGTATGTCATTTTATTCATCCAATCCAGAAAGACAGTAAAAGTAATTCCAATTGTATGGCTATAAAAGTAAAAGAACCTGGAATCAACAATTATGATTACGGGAAGAGATAATGATATGTCCAGACAAAATTATCTGTGTTTGATCAAGAAGTACAAACAGATATATCTGATATATCACACATGAGTAATTACTTATATTCCCATATTACCTACTTCTGCCCTTGTACTTTCGCATCAATGAACTTTTGTTTCGGTTTACATCTGATTCTCTATTGAATAGTCGGATTATTTTGTACGAGTGTATCAGAGTTATACCATATTCCCTTCTTTCATGTTATTACAAAAAATAATGGATAATTGTGGAATATTCAACTGAATTAAAAGTACTCTCTTTATTCACAATACGATATGTATCTTCATCTATATAAATTTATCTAATCAATTTTTAAAAAAATCCAATTCAGATAAGAAAATGTGAAAAGATTTTGATACTGACATTTTCGAAACTCAAACACCAGGATTTGTTTACAGCTATCAAGAGTATCAAAATAGAATTAAAATACTAAAGAACGATACCGACATCGAATAATCACAAGTTCACAGATCAGTTTCACAAATTAATATTTAAAAAAATCTAAATAACGGAATGATCAAACTATACAATCATTATATTAATAATTTTGAAACAGATTAATCACATAACTTTTAGAAAAATTATTTTCAATTGTATTACCTATGAGTTAATCATTTTATGATAAATAATTCTCTTTTAAATTAAACAACAATATAAACATAGTTAAGATGATGAGTCAATTGAAGCTAGACCACCATGGAAAACCTGGAAGCACTGGACAGTCGTTTTGTCCTATTATGGGACTCCTCAGCAGTGCTTATCCACGACCCCACCTCGCAGGACGAAGCGGCCGTCCAGTGCTTCCAGGTTTTCTATGGTGGTCTAGCTTCAATTGACTCATCATCTTAACTAGTGAAATTACTACAATCTCCATAAAACCCCTTTTGATACTAATATAAACATAATTGAATAATTAAACTAACTACTCACCTGTAATTGTTCTTGATCAGTAAATGGTTTAGTACGAAAAAATTTTTCTCTAACTATTTTAATTACAGCAAATTTTAAACGTTCTTTAAATGCGAAATATTTTCCAGATGTATTCAGTGAATAATATAGTTCATGTTTCCTGAATTAAAAAATTTTGTTTGTTGTTGTTTAAATGAATTAATTAAATCTTACATTTGTTCAGCGCATTCATGATCTACTGGTAATTGATCTGTTTGTATAAGATCAGAAAACATAACTCTACAAAATGAAGAAGAAAAAATATTGAACAATGAATTTATATTATAAAGATAAGTGTGTTAGAGATAATGAATGATACCTATTAGAAATTTATGATTCAATAAGACCATAATTGTTGTTGTATTTAACTTCAAATGGAAACCTTGTTCTATCTATTTCGCTGTAAGCAAACTAGTAGTATCAATTGCTTATACAATAAATGCATGAAACGTAAACAAACAAACAAAAATAGATTGCATTACTTATTATTGTTATCTCTCGTCAGTCAGTCTTGAGTGCTGTTAGAGGTATGAGGGGGGTTATCACTTCCCGGTTGCCCACACCGTGGAAGGGTTCTTCTGGAGGTACCTGAAAAGGAAATCGGATTAGAAGTGGTCTTAGTGACCTGGGAGCGTTACCGCAGTGCCCAAGGGACAACTGCTTGAGGTCGGTCACACACTACCTTTTTATGGGCAATTTTTGTGTTAGCTCCGTACGTTTTGAGACCTTACAGCCGGAGACGGATATCCGTGGGATAAGGCGAGGTGTGCATTTTTAGGGTCGGCCTTTTCTAACCCCACCCCTCGTTGTGGGAAGACAGAATTGCTGTCATGCTGGTTGTCTGAAGGAAACACCTTAATGCTGTCACACCTCTGTACAGTCAGCAGTACGACTTCGGACCTTGGGTTTGTTACATTTAGTCTCGTAAAGTTTTAAGAAACGGGTTCTATATTTAGAATTAGAAAATATTTTAATTAATATAAATCTATCAAGTAAATGATTTAAATTCTGCTATAATTCATTATAAGCTTTATAAATGTTTACGTATCCTGTTTGCACTTTATAATATACATGATCAGTAGCTTCGTTCTAAACGCTTGATTTAAAATAAATAAAATCTTATGCCTTTTTGAAAAAGTACACCTAATTCATCATTATTACATGTCAGTTTGTATAAGCCTGATCATATTTATAAGCTGGATTGAATTCTATATTTATTTACAGAATACTTGATTCTCAGCATAAAATAAAATTCAATACCGAGTGATGAATATACTAACACAGCATCTGTAATAGAAAATCTGTTAATTACTAGACATACTTATAATTAGACTGAGTTAATAATAATCAAACTTGATAAAAACTACACATGGTCAATTTTACTGTGAAACTTGCTTGAATAATCTATTAAATGTTAATAGGCATTATCAACGATGTATAATTTCACACGAACAACATTTTCTGTAATTTATCAGATATCAGGCTTTGTTGGATGTAGTCATTCCTGTTCCAAAAAAATTTCAGCTACAGTTTCTAGGTTTACTTATTTCTATTCTAGCCAAACTGAAGTATGACATTTAATTATCAAGTTCTCTGGTACAATTCAATCGAATCGACATCAAATGAATTAGTATAAATACTATACATTAACTCCAAGTTATCTATATTAATTAACTGTCATAAAATGGGAAATGATAATCAGTAAAGTAAGATTTATGTACAATACTTCATTAATTATTCCTTAGAAATAGTTTCTGCTGAAATCCAACTAACAGACCAAAATATCTTTGTTTTGCTCAATCAAGGGTTTAGAACTTATGTGACACTGAAGGTCGTGTGTTCGAGTACTAAGTGCGGGTCGTGGATACGCACCGCTGAGGAGTCCCATACTACGACCAAATGGCCATCCAGTGCTTTCAGATTCTCTGTGATTGTCGAACTTAGATCAGTTCATGATTTTAATAAAACTTTCCAGTTTCATGATGAAAAGGTGTATGTATCAATTATTTGTATAACCCAAAAGAATTTCTATATATAACATTTCCCTCAACAGTGGCTTTTAAATTACATGTTAGGTTAATTATTTTCACGTTGACAAACATGTAAATGAGTTCGTATAAGTGATTAATGAAATAATACAACAAAAATGAATATGTATTCTTTTACTTGAACTCCATTAACAAATAATTAGCAACTTCTGCTATTTGCTTGTGATACTCCTTAACCGCCTATAATAATGAACAAATTAGGGTATAATTATGTTTATTAAATTCAACAGGTCAACAAATTATTATGCACAACATAATTAACATTACAGATAATTTACAATTCTTAACAAGCGAAATCCTCCTTCTAAGAGAATCCAACAGTATACACAATATTTCGGATTTCTTGTCAAGGTATTCAGACTGACAATAAATCAGTTCGGCATGGCTATTTCAGTAACTTATTAAATAAGTATTTCTTAATGAAATGGTTATGTAAATTGAAAACTGTTGAATTTGTGAATTCTGTTTTTAGTGTTAACAATTAGTTCGTGATTACTTACTTTTCAGACAAATCAGAATGAAATGAACAGGAAAGCCACACTTTATTGAAATAAGGCTTATTTATTATGAATATTAGGTTCAAGATAAATAAACTCAATCAAGAGCGTGAACTGTCTTTGTGTTTTTAGCAATTACAATCGTAATTTTCATACATAGAATACTCTTTCAAAGCTATGAGAAGTGAACAATATTTCGTTTGTAGTTCATCCAGCCAAGTGAACAACCAATTTCTATTCACACCATTAATTTCGATCAGTGAAGTCAAACTATACTGCTAACCATAAGTGATGCTAAAACTAACCTTGAGGTTTTCAAGTCACATTTTAGCTAGTGAACCGACAACTTGAATAAAACAAAAATACTTCACTAGTAAAGTTATAAATCTTAATTGATGATTGAGGTTTTTCAAATTATATACTTTCCTAATGCATATTATCCGTCTATCCGTCTCCATATTAGTGATATTCCAGTAAAACAAATACTCATTTAAAACATGTTACTTATTCACTTCACTGTCTTTAACAATAATCTACCTGGAAAATCGATCAAATAAAGTAATAAACAACTTATAGTTATTAATTGTGACCAATTATGACATTTGTACACCATTGAAACTAGTATCATTCAGTAAATTGTTTAAAGTTTAATTTAAACAAAGGGACAAAGTCATTAATTTACATGTTGTATTCAATTTACAAAAGAAGTACATAAGTAGTTACAATGATTTCGCTTACACATTATTTTATTCTCATACTGTCATGATTAAAAAGATTCTTTGACTAATTTTAAGAGTTCTAAGCACTACTATAAATGTATATATATCAAACAATAAACTAAAATTTGTCTGATCATTATTAGATCACTAAGTTTAAGATGATTTCAAAGTAACCGTCAAATTATATGACAAATCAATAAAATTAATGTGTCTATTGAAAACTTAAACCACTACACAAGGTTAGTGTTGAATACTTTGTTTATTTTTTTCTTAGTTTGAATCATTCGGAGACTTAAATAGAATAATCTTTTTGATTGATGTTTTCGGACTATTTAGATGTGATTTGATCCAATCATTGGTATATTTCATTGATTGGTATCATTTGTTTACTATCATTTATTTATCGGTTTTGTTTTAACCTCTGTATTTTAAGCTTTTGTAACTGCACTCACTGAACAGAGTCAGTTTCAATAAAATAAATTTATTTCTATCAGTATTTCAAAATAAGCTACTAAATAGGCTTACCATGATTAGATCACTATATACGTAAACCGGTTGACTGTTGAATAGACTATGTATTATAATATGAAAGGCGATTAATCACTCACTATTACTGTTGCAAATAACTAAGTGTTATTTGAATCAAAGCTATTTTTTGTAACCGACGGTGTCCGAAATCTGATACTGATGCTTTGCGTGATAGGCGCTAACCCCTCCCCAACTGACTATTTGAGCGAAAAAGCATATTGGACTACCGAATGAAATGCACAAATACTCATATATATATATATATATATATATATATATATATATATATATATATATATATATATATATATATATATATATATATATATATATATATACCACTCTATCTTTAGAATATCAACCCATTTCCCCTAATGAAATGCACTTATCCTTTACGTTACCTCCAATTACCATCGATTGACTTTTACTACTTCTGGTTGGCTCTCCATATCACTATTGAACTATGTGCGTGATGTATATATTTATAATCTATCGATTAAATTATCTCAGTTGACTTCCTTTGTCTATGACTCGGAGAAAAGAAACAACACATGCCAGTACACAATATCTGTCCAACTCCAAACTCTAAAATGAATTATTTGTGTAATATTATTAAACTCAATAGTATTTAAGGAATAAATTAGAAACATGAATCATATCAGCTAAAAACAAGCTACTTTTTCAGCTGTGGTGTGACGTTTGACAACTGGTTGTTTTTCAGTTATATAAGTAGAAACTTTTTGGTCAATTTCTTCTAAAGTTCGTTTTTTAACCAATGGTTTTTCTAAACGAAATTCTAGCATTATAAATGATTGTGCATCTAAATATTGTTGAGCTTCAGTATTTTGTACTTGATCAGTAGGTTGTTCGTTTATGGTGTTTGGTGTTAAATTGGATTTTTGTCTTTCGATTTCACTACGTTCTCCAGTTTCCGCCTCAAGTGCACTAGCACTTCTGCCTGTGGTCTGTAAACAAGTATTTTTAATTATTAGAAAATAATCAGTGGTCATTAAAAGACAGAAAAATTTGTTTAGAAAACATTTTTCATTGTCACGCACATCGTGAGCAATGTGGATTTATCTTATACGGATAGATTTGATCCATTACATCTGTTGTTGAACTATTTCTCAACCATACAACAACGAGTCATTGAAATAAATTATCAAATACGAATGGTAAGTTCTTCCAGTAGATATCACTTGTTTAGCTTAATAGGTATAATGCACCCTAATTCATAATATTATAGAATAAAATAAATAACTATACCGAGTATAGTTCTACTTAGATAGCTACATGGTAATGTCTTTGTCTAGACAACTTTAATTATATAGGTCTGAATGTGGCCTAAAGTGTAAGTTACATTGAATTTCGAAGCTCATTTTCTCCTAAGTGTTAACATGAACGTAATACATGCATAAATAGCTTCTTTCTGTTTGTTTGTAAATTTCTAACACTAGATTTAATTAAATTTATTTATTCAGAATAGTGAATAGGATAATTAACTGATGGTTATTTTGTTTTAGCTACATTTATTTAAATGCCAAAAATTCACTCATAAAGACGTACGATCTCATCTACATTTTGTTAGACTTATTTCAGATATGATAAATGAGATGAACTAAGTACTACGTTGTACCACCGTAATTAATTCGACTTTCTTATCATAACGTATACACTAAAACAATGTGTTATTCAAGCCTTAGTTAAATAAGAAAATTCCATAAATGAACAAATTGATTGATACCTTTCATAAATGAGGCACGCAGCTAGCTGACAATCTTTCTTCAATACATCAACCGGTTCACAAAAGTTAGTTTATTTGAAGAAAATTTATGCTACGTAATGCCGTTTGCTAGTAGTCCTTAACTAAGATAACTCAAATGCTCAATCTTTTGCTGCTTTGTTTGGTTTACTAGCTGATGATAGTTGAGATAACAAAATGTCGTAAACTTGAATAAATCTCCAAATCCAGCCTCAACACTGTATTTTAACTTGTAGTTTTAATACTGGTGATGTTATTATGCACCCATGCTCATTTTGATGGTTTTTTACTTTATTCACTTATCTAATAACTGTAATACTCAAAAAAATACCAGTAGCTAACTAGTTATTAGCAGAAATTGGTTTTTATTAAAGTCATAAGTACTAGAAAACTTCAAACAAGATGACTTATTTCTAGCACCCTGTATTTGTTAGCAAATATTTTGGTAGATGCTAATTAATCTAGTTTTCCTGCCTTTTATAATGTGAGTTATGTGGGAAAATTGAAGTAACTTAAAGAAAGTTACAGTTATGCTGTATTTATGAGGAATTATAAATCTTAAACTCAATAATCTGTTTAGGAAGCACAATTTATCATGTAATTTATTGACTTTTTTTGGCTATATTGGAAGAATTTACAGATAAATCAAAATCGTCTGCTACATAAAACCACACTTCTTACGGAGTTAAATTGTATTGTATATCATGTTTTCCCTAACATTGGATTAGTAGAACATAAACGTTTGTCTGAGTGAACTTGAAACGGAGTAGACTACATTTTACTTCATAATTTTGTAAAAGAAGGCAAATCAACGAGGAAAATGTTTTTTTCCGATGACTTCATTTACTTAAGCTGTACAATCGTATTTATGATTGATTTTAACTTCTAAAACAATGGTCTATAGTAGAGCAGAGCTGTGTTGTAATAATTGTTAAATAATATTTATGAAAATAATTGGAAAGGAGTAGAAATAATTTTTTAAAGAGAGGTTAGGGATGACAACAAAGGAGGTTAAAACCATGTAAGAATGAGGGACTGAACATACTGGTTTTGTACGCAAAAGTTGGGCTTGAACTGATGTATAACAATAAACTCTGCTGTACATAAGTTTTTTAATTAAATTCTGACTGCAGGCATGATTTTGAAGGAGGCTGACTTATGGTGAAGTAGGTTGACCAGAATTGACATGATGCTTCAAGATTTAGCTTCTAACTAACTTATGTAATCCTTTGAAAAGCCAGGCAGGGTAATGTTAGAAGATGCGTTTCAAAAGAGCTCGCTTTGGGCTGTTAATATGATCTGCTCAGCATGAGCTAGTAAACCAATAGAAGTACATTGATTTGGACCAAAGTGGGAGCTTATTCTTCACACGACTAGAAAAGATAATACGAAGCTCAGTCAAATAGAATGTTTTTCTAAGAGATTTCGAAAGCCTGTTTTTTCAAAATTTGTGCTGTGGCGTTTTCTTTAACCTGAATATTCATAAATAGAGTCTTCTTTCGTGCTATGAAAACTCTTTCACACTGTTGTTTTGGTTTTAGGTTTTGCTTAATGAATCTAGGTAAATAAACATTGTTGATCAGTATCCGTTGAAATTCATCTTCAATACGGATTCGTCTAGCCCTTGTACGGAGAGAATGAATCAAGTTTCGCTTTTGGTTCAGTGGGACTTTGAAAATTCATGTTTTGACCATCCCATGTTGGCTTTTTATATGTCGATCTTTGCATGGATCTGTCAGATCTCCTCTTTATCAAAACATCTAATAAGTGGAATTCTGAATGTTTTTTGTGAAAAGGAAACCTGATGGTTCCCTACAAAGGTTGGTATATAGAAAGCCAACATGGAATGGTCAAAATATGGATTTTTAAAGTTGGGTCCGACTGAACCAAACTTCATTATGGGTTCAAAAATTTATTTGTAAAATCTTACCTTAGCATTTGTGACGCTTGTTTTCCTTTCATGTTTTGGAACATTAAGCTGTGTTTTCTTTTTATCTGTCTGTACGTTTGGGGTACTTTGAACTGATACTTTATTTAAAACATCTCGAAGTAAGCTATTTTGACGTTTTGTCTGAAAATAAGTATTACAAATTAATGATAGATTGTAGCACCTTGATATCCAGTCTATTTTTAGGGATATGAAATATAAGTCCAAGAATGTTTTGTTTAGTAAATGAATCAAATTCAGACACATGAGAAGTTATTTTATTACAAACTATCTAGCCAGTCATATGCAACATAGATCCTGACTCATGTGAACAACGGTTGACGTTGCCACACCCCGTGAGCGCAGCACAATGAAGATGTCAGGGAAAATCCCAGAGTAAGAAGGCTAATAATAGTATGAATGATAATGTAAACGATTAGACTTAGATTTAATTCGAGGAGAAAATTCGGATTGGTAATGTAAAAAATTTGCAAGGTAATTTAGAAGCTTAAGATTTTAGGGAAGACAAAATGTAAATGCACCTGCATCATTGGAACTGATTCTAGGTCATACCACTTAAAGTATATAGCCTTTGGTTGCGATAGTAAGGCGAACCCTAACCAGGTAGTCTGCGACTGCCTACATAGGTCAGTTCAGTAGTCAGTGTCTTCGTAGACTGATGCCATGTCTGGGCTTGGTAGCCCTCAGCATCCTTCCAGTCTATACCCAAACCAGTTATCACCGCGTCTTGAGGTTGTCGGTGGATGGGCATACGTAATACACATCTCAACGTCTTCGGCCGATAAAGATTCGTTTTTGAACTTACGCTATTTACACTGAATGGGTCGACTAGAAGAATGTTAACATAGACCTGCTAACATGTTTAAAAAACTCTAAATAATGTAGAAGCCTGCAATGACGATAGTAGCTAAGTTTGGTGATTTCCAGTGTTAGATGCTTCTAAAATTTCATTATCAACACTGAGCAACAATGCCAGGATGTTTAGGACGCGTTTCTCCTCTCTAAATGCATATGGTCGCCTCAGGACTGGCCTGCATCTACACCTGAACTAAGGATAAGGAGTGAAGTAGTCGAATGTATCGACAACTTCACTTATCTTAGAAGTCTGATCAGCCCTAATGGGTTGGCGTCTGACGAAACCTCTACATGGGTTCAGAGAGCTCGTTTAGTTTTTGCCAACTTACTTCACTTATGGCAAAGGCGAGATATCCGTCTATCAATCAAGGGACGAGTGTACTGCACAGCAGTTCGCTCTGTTCTACTTCACAGCTGCAAAACGTGACCATTAAGATTAGAAGATACTTGTAAGTGGCATCTGAAATGGGGTGGATTGTAAAATGTAATTAAGTCACTTATGTTCAATGTAGCTCATCACCTAACCAGTCGGCAGTCATCCTGAGTACCTTTATCACAAATTCATTTACTCCTCATTCTGATTGATTTTAAATTTTTCAAAATGTATGGAGTGTTGTCCAGTACATACACCTTGACTGACATGGCATTCTACAAAAAGCACAAAATATTTACTATACTCCTATTCCATTATATTATTGTTCGGACGTTTTATCTTGAAATAAGTATTTAGCATCAGACGCCATATCAAACAATCTATACACATTTCACTTTTCATAGTGCTTGAAGTATCATGATTTATCATAGCACGAGCATCTACTAAACCTATTGTTTTTTCGACCAGATCACCTTACGTCTAAGGCTTCGATTCAATATATAGCTGTATTACTACTTACCTGGTCTGTAAAAAACACAAAACAAATCGTAAACAATTTGTCACTTATAATCCCTTAAATGTCTATTGTCTGCGATAAATTTTATAGATACATGCACCAAAATACCTATTGTCTGATTGTAGCACAAAGGACAATTAGAATTCTAGCCACCTAATCAATACTTAATTTATCGATTACCATGTAATGATAAAGTAAAATACAATTGCGACTGATCGATTCGCGTGTCGAAATTAAACAAACAATACACTTTTTATGGACTTCAGTTCATTAGAAAAGCTTCTAATGTCAGAATATTCGAAAACATTTATTGAATAGGAACTTGATAACAAACTAAATTTTCCAAAATAATATGTGTGTGCTCACCTTTTCTTCATATTCTTTCTGATTAAAAGGATATATTTTGTATGCCCCACGAACGTAATCCACTGAAAAGCGAAAAGTTTTAAAATTATTTCGACTGAACAATTAATAATATCTCCAATGGATTCTATGTCTTGTATTATGAAATTCATAATTGGAAAACGTTGAAAATCCAATGAGTCAACTTCAATCATTGGGCATAATCATATTATATGTGATTACATCCACTAACATGAAACCCTGCAAGTCTTATTTATTCAGATCTCCCTATTTAAAATTGGTTTTTCTGGCAAGCTAGAGATAATTGGACCGTCACAATTCAACTTTTGACACCACATAACTAGAATATTTAGGCCCTATCATTTATTTCAGATACTGAGTGCACATGTTCTAAAAAGGTGCGCGGAGACAAAGGCTCACATCCTAAAATTACACAAACAACAATTAATTAATTCAGGATACGATCATCCACGGAACAATAACGTCACTGATATAAAGCTTGGTAATAGATGAGTACTTTCATTGGCGGCATTGTGATGTATTCAACTGATGCACTACGATATTTACTGTGCGATTACGATTAAAATCTTTACATCGGCAGTCTGTAATACAGACTGCCGAAGGTTTAGTCCACTGAATAAAATACAAATCGTAGTACTTTTTGAAACACAACTTATCATCTATAATTTGACAAAAATTGGGCACCGACTATAGATAATTCAAAATATGAGAAAATTATATTTGAAATAATCTCGGCGATTACCCTAAAGAAGTCCAGAAAAGCTTACCGGACGAAACGTTGAGAATATTTAAATTTCAGTCACTGAGATTATTTCAAACATAATTCTCACATATACTGAACCATTTATAATACTAGTGTTAAGTATGGAATTTGTGTTGATTGACTATTTCTTTGTACATTATTCTGAGCCTGATTCGAATTTTGACTGTGCCCATGTTGATCTCCTCTACACGTAACTGTTAGAGTATGAGTTAAACAGTTCTGGAAATCACTGTTTATTATACTGGATTTTACTATTTCTGGCTATCATATTTAGACGGCATCTTTTCAAACAACTTGATGTACTTTCCTCTTAAACGTTACTTGGCAAAGACATATTGGCAGTATATTATTAGGTTACAGAATAGTGGAACTCCGAATTAATAACACAAATGAAAGTAAATTAGTTGTACTTTGGGAAAATATACATTCATATCTTACCACCTGGGTAGAGAAGCGGAGTTAAATTAACATAAGCTACACCATGATGAGTATGGGTGGGTTCATCGTCCTATATATTTAAATAAAGTCGTAATATATGAAAAGAATAAGAAACCTTTTTCTTTCTTCCAGATGAGCTGCCCTGCATGCAAAACACCTCCACTGGTAAAAATTTATAAGCTGAAATTCTTTCTTTCAGTCTAAAAGTTCATGAGTTCATTCATTTACATATCAAAACTTGCTTCAACTGTGATGTCCTGTTCAGCAAGCGCCTGTGTTGCTGATTCCAAACAACTTTATTTTTTACAGAATTAGCTGAATTTCTAAGAGTCGAATATTGTCCTATTGGAAAGTCACCATCTTCTTTTTTATTCAATGCTAGAGTAATCTCCGGAAAACTTGAAGCCATTTGGTCATTAAGAAACGATTGACTGTACCTGGTTTGCATAATATCTGCAAAACTCCGTGCACTTCCAGGGGCAGGCCATCTAAATGAAGTGCTGATGTATTCTGCATCGGATGGCGATTTCAAATATCCCTTGTTCGAAATGATTGCGTTTTCTATATTCTACTGTCATTAACGTAAAATTTCAGAACAGACTTCACTCGAGGTAATCAATGGTAGTGCAGCAACAAAAGTATAGTGATCTTTTGTGTGGAACGTTTCGGGGACATTTTGAATTGACTCAATATTGACATAAATGATATTCAGTTGTTCATAAACTTCATCATTTAAAAGTGGTTGATCAACTGAAACTAAAATATCAACAGTTGGCTGAGATAAGAAACGAAACTCAAAAAATAATTATGTCGTACAAGATCGTCAAAAGATGTAGAAAACTGGCTGAATAATTTCAAGTTCAACTCATATTTAGTCGAATTTTTTACCAATGGTAAGCCATCAAAAGTCGTCTGACCGCACAACTCAGTTTTGGCTTCCTTTTGTTTCTTGTCTTTTACTTTGTGTTCGTAAACAGTCACTGGCCTATCACTTGTTTAAATTTATGTAACTTACACACAAAAGGCTGCGAGCACAACGAATCTAAAGACGCAACATCTATGGTGGACAACTCATATTTGAAAATGTGGTCGATTATTAACTGATTATCACTATTCAGATCACATCTTTGAGATTCACCACAGGAGAAATCTCCATGCTCAAGCTTGACTGAATACTTGCTTCCATCACCCAACTTGACCTAAAAACAATATAATCTGTAAAATTCAAACTACGAATTTATGAATTCGTTGCAAATGTATTTGAATAGTTCGCAGACTTATTAGGCCTAAATCTTTCGTCATTTCCAGTCTTGTTTGAAAACGCTACACTTTTTCGTAACTACACATTTTGTCAAAATTATCATCTCAGTTTATACAAACACACAGAACCCATAATAAGTGTACTTTGAATATTACTGACTCATGATATGAAAATAATACTTCGATCAATTTTGATGTGCTGTAAAAAAACGTTAATATGTTAAGTTTTAGTTGATGTAAGCTATATTGAATTTTCGTTTGGTTCTTATAACATGAGTTTAGTTCGGGAGTTTTTATAGCAGCTTGGAATGACGAAGTTATAGTTAAAATTATATCGATAAGCAGTAGTTCATGCAAATATAAAAAAATATGACGTACGCAAACATTTGGTTTTAAAAACAATTCTTTCGAAAGGCAGTGTGGATGCTTCGTAGAAAATATATCGATGACTGAATATTTACGATTCTTTGAGTTGGTAGGGTTACATCAAGGTGACAGAATAGAACCCCGGAACTTTACGAAAATCATTTGGGGCCAAAAATACTTTACCGAATGTTTTTGCTAAAACAAGGAAATCTCTTTCGACCAAAATTTGCCTATCCAATCATACAAGCATTCTAAAAAGTCAGAACCAAGAGGCTCACCATATGAATCGAACGTCATGCGGCCGAGACTCAAAAACTTCACAGTACAAACATATTCAACCTAAATCTTAGCAATAACAAGTCCATTTTTAAACTTAATTTCACATAAAACCACCAAGCATTATCACGCATGACAACCACAAGCATTGAGTCTAAAATTTCTGAGTGAAGTTGTCAGGCTTGGTTCTCACAACACTGAGCACTCATCATTATAGACAATATGCATCCAAAGTTCTTTATCTTAAGAGAGGGTTTCTGGGAGGCTATATGCATTCACAAACACCGATTTTACACACACACATACGCCACTGAGTGCCATCACTACCACATTTGATCCATATCAGATAACGTTTCAAAAGCTGATGTTTTGATACCATTTACTGTTGTTTTGTCGTGTTGTAATGCCATCATTTGTTGGTTATAATTCGACTTTGGTTAGGAAAAAACTGTGTATTGTTTGTTCGACCAATCCAATTTGAAATAACTAGGTCTGTAGATTAAAGTTTTATGCTGTCAGTGAAGTGACAACACTATACTATCGATTAGTCTTTGCCAGTGTTTTAAATAATTAACGTGTTTATTCACTAAATGTTTTTTGTTCCCTAGAAATGAATCTGTGATGATTTGGTGCGAATGCATGACAGAGCGCCTTCAATTATAAATTGCTCAGTAGAACTAACGGAGTCAGTATCAATGTGAAAAAATTTCCTTAAACCCACGGGAAAGTTCAAGGCTACTGGAGAACATCGAAGCTCTTAGCTATTTACTAACAATGTCCCTCTAAAAATGTTTATGGCCATATACTGGGATAACTGTTTAGTTGTTGAAGATCTCTAAAAATCAATAGTGGTGTAAGAATTTAACGATTACTCTGATAATATGAGTTTTATCGAACACTCTGCTAAATAAAGGCACTTGATCTGGAGCTCCCGCTTATTTCAACTCCCCATCAATCACAACTGGTCGGCTTTGAACTTATACTTTATGTACCTCCACATTCAATTCTCATTCACCCTCGACATTTTCATGAAATAACTTGAGTGCATACTAACAGAAGATGGTTGGTCACTAGTTTTATCTGATCCCGTTATTTCCAGAACTCCATCAACTATTTTCCTTCCAATGAACTGGATCTAATGCAAGCACTCATAAGACACATTTTATTCACTCTTTATAATATCGGTCAGCCATGTCACTTTCTTTACACCTCACTTATGAAGTAGTCGGAATGTCAAGGAATCAGATCATAAGGATCAAACGGTCATCTCCAATGCAACCTCTATACACAGAAATCGTCACCCGACCGTTGTTGCTACCCTGACGTGGTGGTCGGGCTTGCCTATCGTGATGAAGCAACCGAGCTATACTGGCTGGAACAACCGTTCCTCAAGGTCCTACCATGTCAGACAGGTCGGTTGAAGAGCGGTAAGACTAAAAGCAACAAACCCAAGGTCCGAAGTCGTACTGCTGACTGTACAGAGGTGTGACAGCAGTAAGGTGTTTCCTTCAGACAACCAGCATGACAGCGATGCTGCCTTCCCACAAGGAGGGGTGGGGTTAGAAAAGGTCGACCCTAAAAATGCACACCTCACCTTACCTCACGGATTTCCGTCTCCGGCGGTAAGGCCCTTTGAAGAACGGAGCTAACACGTCACAAACCTCTCACGAAAAGGCCGTGCGCGACCGGCCTCAAGCAGTTGTCCCTTGGGCACTGCGGTCACGCTCTCAGGTCACTGAGACCACCTCTAATCCAATTTCCTTTTCAGGTACCTCCAGAAGAACCCTTCCACGGTGTGGGCAACCGGGAAGTGATAACCGCCCTCATACCTCTAACAGCACTCAAGACCACTGTATTCATAATCAACCTTCCTCTTCAATTCCTATTATTCCTCCTACATCGACTTTCAACCCTAAACTTCCTCCTTCGGCTTCCTCCTCAAGTGTCACCATAGCCAACGATTCTAGTGCTCAAAACACTGTCCCAGGTCTACTGAAACCTCGCTCCAAACTACACATTGGAGCCTTCAACGTACGCACCCTATGTCAAATCGGTCAGCAGGCTTCCTTGGCTAAAACCCTAGAGTCTCTTTCCATTGATGTATGCTGTGTCTCCGAAACACGCATACAGGATTCCAGTGTGGTCATTCACTTGACCTCACCTCGGCAAGACGGAGAGCCAACGAGATACACCCTCGTGTATCTGGTGACCCGATGGCCAGTTCTCGTGGACTGGCAGGTGTAGGCATAGCACTAAGCATGAGGGCGGAACAAGCACTGCTAGAGTGGATCCCCGTCAACAGTCGTCTATGTGCTGTTCGGCTAAACGGCTCCGTAAGAACTCGGAAGGATAGGGACACACGTCGTTGCCTTTTTGTCGTTTCTGCCTACGCTCCCACTGACTGCAGCTCAGATGAAGTGAAAGATGAATTTTACAGAAAGCTGTCCGAACTTCTTCAGAAAGCTAAACGCTCAGACATAGTACTCGTAGCAGGTGACTTTAATGCTCAGATAGGTAGTTTAAACCAAACAGAAAGGCATTTAGGTGGATATTTTAGTATTCCGGCACAGCGAACAGATAATGGTGATCGTCTGCTGCAACTGTACCCACACAAATTTTAAGCATAAGGAGAGACATCGTCTAACATGGCGACCCCCTACACCAAACCAACGATGGACTCAAATAGACCATATTGCCATCAGTCATCGTTGGAGAGGGTCGGTAGAAGATTGTCGCTCATTCTGGAGTACCTGCTTGGACTCCGACCATGCCCTAATACGGGCACGCATCTGCTTGCGCCTCACTGGACGCAAAAAAGCCACATTAAAAAGACCCATTAGAACTGAGTTGAGTAACGAGAAAACCAAAAGTAGGTTCCAGGAACAACTGAGGTCACACTTAGGTAGTTCTGAAGACGAGGCTGACCCAGATGTTGCTTGGAAAGACATACAAGCAGCTGTGGAAACAGCAGTGACATCTATTAGCGACTTAAACCACAGAGTTACAAAGAACCAGTGGATTTCTTCAAAGTCTATCACACTGATGGATTCTCGCAAACTCGTCCCATCAGGTTCCGAACATGATGAAGAGCGACAACAAATCAGATCTAGGTTAAGAAAAAGTCTAAGGAACGACCGTGAGCAGTGGTGGGCAACGAAAGCAAAAGAGATGGAAAAGGCGGCGACTATAGGGAACACAAGACAGCTTTACAGACTAATAAAAGAAACTGGAATTAATAAGTCAAGTGTAAGTGAGATTATTTCGGAAAAAGACGATACCCTCATCTGCTCCCAGAACGATGGGCGGAACATTTCAGAGAACAGTTCAGCTGGCCTTCAGCTACTCTACAACTACCCTCCATTCCCAGACAGGTGAATGGAACATTGAAGTAGGTCCCCCAACTCTTGCTGAAGTTCAAAAGGCTATAGTTAATCTGAAACGAGGAAGGGCAGCTGGTCCAGATGGACTGGCTCCAGAGGTCTTTAAGGATGGTGGTCCAATTTTAGCGATTAGGTTGACTAATATTTTAGCTAAGATCTGGGGTTAGACGTTATCCCATCTGACTGGTCACAATCACTTATCGTCCCAATATATAAGAAAGGGTCAAAATCATCCTGTGACAACCACAGAGGGATTAGTTTAACTAATATAGTATCTAAAATACTAGCCTCGATAATTATCAGACGCCTAACTAAGACTCGTGAACTGCAAACACGAGAGAACCAAGCTGGCTTTAGACCTGGTCGTGGCTGCATCGACCACATATTCACCATTCGTCAGGTTCTAGAACACAGGCATACTTATCGGCGTCCGACAATGGTGGTCTTTCTTGACTTAAAAGCAGCATTTGACTCTGTAGACCGCGAGATTCTGTGGCAGTGTCTGTCATTGAAAGGCGTACCTCAGAAGTACATAAACCTTGTGAAGGCTCTTTACTCGAACACTACTAGTCGAGTCAGAGCTTATGGCGAACTGTCATCTACCTTTGCAACCTCAAGTGGTGTCCGTCAAGGCTGTCCACTTTCCCATTTTTGTTTAACTTCATCATAGACCTATTGATGGAAATAACATTCTCGTCGACTGAATTCTCGGGTATTGATCTCCTTCCAGGAGGTCCACTTATCGACTTAGAATACGCAGATGACATAGTCCTGTTTGGTGAAGACGCTGACAAAATGCAGAGTCTTCTGGTAGCACTAAGCAACAATGCCAGAATGTTTGGAATGCGCTTCTCTCCCTCTAAATGCAAGTTGTTGCTTCAGGACTGGTCTGCGTCAACACCTGAACTAAGGATAGGGAGTGAAGTAGTCGAACGCGTTGACAACTTCACTTATCTTGGAAGTCTGATCAGCCCTAATGGGTTGGTGTCTGACGAAATCTCAGCACGGATTCGAAAAGCTCGTTTGGCTTTTGCCAACTTACGTCACCTTGGCGAAGGCGAGATATCCGTCTATCAATAAAAGGACGAGT